CGCAATGACAAAGAGAAGAGATTCAAAAGCAATGAACTTACTGAAACGGTGATCGTAGATTCGGCAGATATCACAAGAATAAAAACATCAGCGTCTAAACAGTATTTTTCAATCCATTCATCAAGGTTCGTTGACACATCGATACCAGGACTATGAAAACACAACAACTATCGTGTTGAAAACATGGTTGAGCGTTATATTACCTGTCAACAAGGACAACATCATCTCGTATGAGTCGACATTTTTCTTTTGGCCAAAGGATTTTCACCAAAGAGTCCGAATCTAGTTTCTCACTTGATAACGCGTTGCTAATACTACTCAAATTCTACACCCCAAAATGTTTATATTTATTCCTTAAATCAAGAATGGTCGACATGACTTACGTGCACACTTTTCAATTCTTCCGAGCCAGGTATAAGCACTACAGCTTCCATCTTATCTGTTCCTTCAATCTAAACAACAAATAATCGTTGGTCTCGCTTTCTACACTATGAAAACGCACTTGAAGAAAACAATTCGTTGTATGGCCCATTCCGACCGGCAAGATTCTTTCTCGTAACATTGCATTCATCACAGTACTTTTGCCATTACTCGTTCTGGAAAAAAAGAAGAAGAATGATTTCGAAAAGGGAATATCAATGTTAGAAACTGAACCTTCCGAAGAAAACGACTTTCATATGATCACGTGAAATGATTGACAGGATTCTATTGACTCTCTCTTTCAGTTGTTGACTATCTTTATATTTATCCATCGCAAGCAATTCTTTGTCTGATTTCATTACATCTAAATTAACAACAAAGAAACCAGTTAGATTCAGTCAGGAATGCCAATGATCATACAAACCAGCCAGATAAATGCTCGAATCGTTAACAAACGATGCGATATTCTTGAAAATATCGGTGATTGTCACTTTGGCATGTGTAAACAGTTTCAATGGAGAATTACCATCTAAACAAGAAATCGACTATAGTCGCAGGAGCGGGAGAGATTGATTTCCAAAATGATTTACTCGTGACATTATTTTGACGAATTGATCCGTATAATGTCGGTTTTTCTCGGATAATACTGCCTGACATGACGATCTATCTGAAAAGAAGAAGTTCATACATCATTACTCGCATAGATTTGAACAATTGCTTGAATTCAAATGTCTGAAATCATTTGACGGACATATCACCCTTCGTCATTTGCTGATAAAATCAATTTTTGAAATGAACGATAAGTTCCGGTGAAAGAAATCAAAGTACAATCAATCAGTCAGAATCTAGATTTATTATTTGATAGTTTTCGTCCAACGATGTTTAGAGGTGAGAGGGCGCTCGTTTATGTATCTATGCGACAACACATTTATATATATACTTGATATTCTCGATTATTCTTTTTTCGAAAACATCTTCTCACATTGTATTTAAAGCAAATGATGAGAATTTATAGTTCATAGCTTATGACAACATTGAAAGAGGTTAAAAGTTGTTGAGATAAAGGAAGAAGAATGGCAAATGATTCGTTTATTCAATAAAATTTTCCGTAGGTGAACATTTCATTCGTTGATCTTACATTGAAACACTTCGTTTGCCACGATAACGCGACATTGAATTTAATGGAGATTGATGAATATGATAATCATAACCATTGACATAGTACCGACCTTGAGAATCTAACATTCGATGTGGATTGGATCGACTGTTGGCCCAAAGTAAGTTGTGAAATGCACGTTTACCAATTCGTGGAAAAAGAACACTACGTTGCTCGAGATTTTCATCCGTTGACTCTTCGCTATTAGTATTAACATCTAACAACGACGAAAGATCTTCGTTATCATAGATTGAACGGCCAATGCGCGGAAATTTGGTCGTACGAACATAACGATCAAAATATGAAGGTGAATTGAAATCCAATTGTCTTATTTCATTCGAATCAATAACATACGCGCACTAGAAAGACAAAGTCGACATCAATGCACTGTAGACCGACAAAAATGAACTCTTACCGATGATTTAAGGAAGATTATCATGGCAAAACAGCAGCTAGCAAGGATAAATGTTGATGGTAATGATGAAATAAACATGATGATTATTTTTAAAAAATTAAGAATTAATATTAGGATTTGATCTGTAAAAAAAGTAACGTAGAGAACACATTATGCTGGCGCGTATATATACACAGCTCTGAGTCGTTATGGAAATAAGATTTTCAGGAGGAACAGTCAAAGTGTAGGAGGCATGAGAAACAATAGTCAGATTGATGATGAAAAGACGGCGAAGAGAAAAGAATCTTTGTTTAAGTTCGAACAAATCAGAGAAAGAACTGTCTCCCAAATCGGAAAGGCAATCGATCGAGTACGAATGCTTTGTTACATAGGTCGGAAACATGGGCGGACACATTTTTCCTTAATAAACTCAATTTTGAGAAAGTTATGCTTGATGAATTATCGTGCCTGTTGCTATTAATGGCCGTCCCACACAAATTTCTTTCACTGAAAATCTGCGGTGAAGTTATTTAAAGAATATTGGAAAAATCTGACGGAAATTCATTGAGTAACCGATTCAGTGAAAAGAAAAGAATGAGAGAATGTGGAATTCATCATAGGTGACGTTTATTTTGTATCAGAAAAGAAAGATCGAACAAGAATATTAGCGTGATGTCGGAAATTTATTTAGTAGAAATATCCAAGAGAAGATGTAATCTCAATTGACAAACATCTCACTATCTGATTTCGTGTGATAGTTAATTTGGGTCCATTCATTTCCTTCCGATGTTTCAACCTACGGACGGAATGGTTTTAAACTTGCCTTCCAGATAAATCAATGCTGCTTTCGATGTGATGTAGTATGAGGGTTATTCATATGACGACAAACTATCATTAAGCTTCTCCGAAGATCGACTAGCGTGAAGACAAAGAATCTTTGTTGGATTGGAAATATTAACGATAGAGAACATTTGCTAATAATACGCGACTGAGATGAGATTTAGTCTCACATTTCAATCAACTTCAATTAGAATTTGCGACAATAAACAAATCCAAACAACAAAGATATTAAGTCGCACATAATTATCGACGAGTACATTTGCCTGTACTTACGTCATTCTGATTTATTGTCGTACTTTAGCAACGAAGCACTACGCTGAACGTACGTCAGTTGAAAACAAGCCAAATGTCTGTCAATACTACATGAACTGTGGACCAAAGTTGTTCGATTTCTTTGATATGAATAAAAATATTTGCCATTGCTTCCTTAAACATCCATTATGATCTTCCTCCTACTTACACTTAACTCATTGAAAGTTCCAGTGGACCAACACTGTTGAAGTGGGAGGAGAGCGAACACGAAGGAGACTGTTTTTTTATTCCAATCTCGAGATAACACAAAGTACAATACTGCGTCGATCGGTGACACGTTTTCTCGTTCGAAACTGTAAAGTTTCCTGTTGTCTCACTACAGAGATCAATAAGGCTTCGGCTGATCTTGATTTTATCGATTTTCTCACATTCGAAGAAGTCCCGAAAGCCTTCACTGAGCACTATAATTGCGACTCCGCCTCGCCAATACAATTTGGTAGTTCGATTTTGAATCCTATTGATAGCATACACATGTAGTTAGTCATATGAATAATTATTATCGACTAGGAACGGTCTTTCTCAAAATTTCAACAAGTATCGAATAGAAAACGAAGTTCTTGTTTGCAAACAAGATTTTTTATAGTCGACGATCTTTTTCAAACTAGAATTATTGTTACCCACTACTTCGCCTGTCTGAATGTCGTCAATATATTTATTGATTTTCCTCGAATGACATTTTCAGACATAAAATCATCACAATATTCAGTCAAAAAGTTTACCAGTAATAAAAAAATGAATTCGATTCTTCTCAAGTGCACTTCAAATCGAACGCAAGTTATGCGAAAATCGCTTGATACGCATCATATTTTCGTTCGCGAACTATTTGATAATCAGGCTCTCTCCACTGAAGATAATTGATGAATTGTTCTTGTTGTCTTGCGTGCTTATGACAAGAGGATCTTGTCGATTATATAATACATATTGTTGAAGACAGTTTTGATCGACGATGATTACGAGAATAAAAAAAGATGTCTAGAATATCTGATTAGTGCCAGATTTCTTCCGATGAAAGCGGTTTTTTTTAAAGAAAGTACTCATTCAGAGACATGACAACAGTCGTCAAAGTTTTCCTCATGTTTTCAGCTCATATCATCGTTCGTTTCTCTATGGTAATAAACATTATACACCTGCTGTTTTCTGAAACATCAATAAAAGAGATTCTTTCTTGTCATATATTGATTTGATCTATGTGTATATGTGATTTCGAAAACAGATGCTCGGACTAGAAAATCGATCATCATTAGAGTGTCAAGAAGTCCCAACAACAAGAACATATAGTCCCGATAATAAAAGTGGGTAATTTTCAATCAATTTATCATTGTTACGATCTGGTTATTTCTTTCATCATAAAGGTGTGAGATACCTTCTAGTCCTGAGCCGTTTCTTCATATGCAATCTTACTTGCTCGTATGGATAAATTCTTATCTATTGCAACACTTAGCGACAGATGGATTAGGAAGCGATTCTATTGGTGGAGGTTTTTCAAACCAATGAATAAAATCCGTTTTATGTTACGCGACGCGTTATTTGTTTATTTGAAGAAGTTTCTATTCCATTATCAAATCCATCTGACTAGTGAATATCTGCTATAGTTCGAATGATTTTTCGACGAAACTTTTATCTTCAAACCTCACCTATGACTACCTTGTACTGTCGTTCATTTCAGTTATTCGAAGGTCGTTTTCTTTTGTCAAGGTCTTCTTCGTTAACCGTTGTCGATCTTACTCGTATACGTACATGTATACCTAGTTGTGTATTCAACCGACCTTGACAATTAATTTTTTTTTCTTGCTTCATTTTAGATCGATTTCTCTGATCTTGTAGAACGTATCGATTAGGGATACAAATTATGATTGAAAATAATCGACTATCTGATCTATGAACGTTATCTTGATTGTATATGTGTAAGTAAACGGTTGTCGAGCAAAGGCAAACGATGAGATTTTGTTTTTTGTTGTTAGAGAAGAAAACCTATTTCAATTTTCAATGTCAATGTGAACAACATGAGTGAATATGAACTTTTACGAAAAAGCTCTACACAGCAAACTTATTCACCCGACTCAAATAACGAGTTCGATGAAACGCTCGATGATCGGAATGGTTCCATCATGCTTGATAACAATAATATCATCATGAAAACACCTCAATCTCTTGATGATCTTCTCGATGTTGATGATAATAACAATGAAAACGACGAAGAGACAGAAAAGAATGAAAATCTTGATCAGAATAATGATAATAACGACGATTCAACGCATTTAATCGTTGATCATCCAAATCCAGCAGAACAAACAAAACAAAAGAAATCTATCGAGAAAAATGGTAAGATTTAATAGCTCGTTAAGTAATGAGTATGCGCGATTATGTAAACTCTCTGAATGGAGATCATCTTTACAATGCTCAATGCCAACATATACTCATTATTGTCTGTTCTCCTATATCTTTCTAAACATGTGGGTGTGTTAGATAAGTTTGTATNGTAGAGAACTTGGCCTCTCGTAGGAAACCAATACTAGAAACATCTCTTTTCCTACCACTATATTTTCCGTTTTCTTTTTCTTCTTCTGTGTTTTTCTTCTTTTGCTTTCCTCTCTCCTGCTGTTATGAGCGTACAAATACTCTGTTCGGAATTGACGATAGTCTCTTACAGCTATTCTTGTTCTTCAACGACGATGATGATAAGAGAAATGTCGTTTTTTTCCTTGTTTCTTTTCTTCTGGTATACACTGCCGTTTCTTCTCGTATTTTGAACAGCAATAATAGCGACGCTAGTCTTTAGGGTCCTCCTTGTCTCATTTTTTCCCCCTCACTCGTCTTATTCTTCTTCTTGCAGAGAACAAAATAAGAATGCATAAGTATTCGCGGTGTTTAGCGTTATCCAAATGATAATGATGATGACAATGATGAGTACTCATTGTTCTTTCTCTTTCTTTCTCACATAGACAACAACGAGAAGAAGAAGAAAAAATCGAGCTTGATATATCTTGACAAAACTAAATGAAACAAGCAGTCGAAATGCTAAATGATTGCCGATTTCCTTTCCTATATTGGCAAGGCTCGATTTTCTCGGTAAATGTCAACACTCGTTCACTCTAGATATGCACAGAATTGTCAAAATAAGAAAAAACAAGTTTATATATTCATATGTAAAGATCGTCAAAAATGTCTTTGTTAATGTATATCGATGTTCTCATTGTGTCTAGTGACAGATGGAAAAAGCTGAGAAAAACAAGAAAATCGTTCTAAATATATCCATATGTTTGTCTTGTGTTTTGCTAATATCTCGTGTGGGGATTTCACCTAATGGAGATATATCTGTTTCTTGTTGAAATAAATATACAGATGGTATCTCTTTGTTAATAATCTACGTTTGGATATGTATTGATGATAAATAAGCATATATAAAATGAAATGGAAATTTATTGCGACAGGATCGGTTGTTCGATTAGAAGACAGAAAGTATCGAACGAGTTAATTCAGTTTGCCTTCTCTTTCGATCGATTGAGTATAAGTGTCGACTGTCGTATTGAAGATTTAATAGGACTTTTCTCTTCGATGTATTCGATTTCCGCTAAGTACCTACTTTGCCTAGATAGGCAAGGAATAAACACTTTGAAAAAGCAAATCACTGGACTGATTTGCGGCTTAATCAGGATATTAACAACATTTTTCTATTCTCTTCATCAATTTGTGCAAAAAATCCATTCGCCACGCATCAGATCGTTTTTTTCCTCCCTCCACTTATTGTAGTAATAGTATTATATTGATCCTTCTCAATGTGGGCTAGAGAAGAGAGGGGGGGGGGGGGTAGTAATACATTGATGATTCTGATGATATTTACAAATGTTGACATGAAATAGATATGTACTAATTATAATTCGATGAGAAATTTCTTTTCCGTCAATTATGACGATGAGAAGACATTGATGATAATCAAGGAAAAAACATTAAAGATGGAATTAGAAATGAAAGATTTTCTCCGATATACATCAGGCGGAACAATCATTGGAAAATACGTGGAATTTCACTTCAATTACGCACAGACGTCAAATGATTTTTTTTCTTCTCCCGCACGAAGACAATAGAGAGAGGAGTTCGACGATTTGTTCACGGCAATTTCGATACGACTGGCCGATGCATATCGGCAAAGCTGGTCGAATAACCAACGTGAGAACATTTTATTCCAGGTCAATAAGTATGTTACATATTTGCATTGCCGAGAACTTGATTAATCACACATTTCCTTCGATTTTCAACTACGTTTTAGATCAATTCTTCGCGCGTCTATCGATCTCGAATGAGATCATTTGCTTTCCTGTCCTGTCTTACTCGAACAATCAAACTCAGATAACAAAGCATTGTTGATTTTTACCGTTGACGTAAATAAAGATCTTCTTTCAGCGGAAACTGACATATATAATATTCATTTTTTTATCTCCTCACATAATCATTAATCATGTTGAATCTTACTTGCAAATCATTGAGTTTTGCGTGGAGAAAATAGTTAATTAATACAATCGAATATACTGAAGTCGAATTAAAGATTCCTAAACATCCGTATGGATTCAATAGTCATCGTATGCACTCAAAAGAGATATCGAAATGAACGAAGAGCACTTCTCGAAGCAATGCCTTTTCTAAACCGGAAGATAATGCTAATTAGAGGATGTTCACGGCACTAGAACCTATCGGAGATTTCCTCTGTTTGGTAGAACGCGTGTCATCACTTCAGTTTTATTTCAAAATAGAGTAAATGATTCAGTTCGCGAATAAAAATCATAAGATGAAGGAAAAGACAAGTAGTACAGAAGAATCTATCCTGTAAGCAATGAAAGATTTGTTTACTTCTTGGCTTTTGATCGTCGTGGATCTTTTCGTTCATCATCACTGCCCGATGCACCCGATCGCCTGTCTTCTTCTCGTGGTGGACTAGCTCCACGCATATATTCTGATGTTAGGTTTTTGAATCGATACAAATCCTCGGAGTTTTTATCATCGTAATGTGCAAGATTTGTTGTTGCAAAACCGTAACTTCGTTTGGCTTTTCCTCCTTCTGCAGTCAACGCTAGAGATGGAGGTGGCGGTGGTGCAGCAGCAGCAGGCTCGCTTGTTGATGAACCTTGGCCAGTGATTAAGCGTGACATTCGAGAGAATAGCGAAGGACTTTCAGTTGGTTTTACTGCCCCTCGAGAAGCTGCCATTTTTCGACATTTCGATGAAACAACTTGTGACTGTAATGCGTTACTAGCTTTATCCCAACGGCTAATTAGACAAAGAAAACTTCAAACTATTTGTAAAGGAAAAAGGGTTATCTACTTTTCATTGAAGCCATCGTGTGCTTCATATTCTTTATGAGCATGTTTCATTCGATTAAGATTACTCATATAGTTCATACGTTGTTTTTGCATGATAGGTTTCGACCATTTCGAACGAACACGTGATGCGCCATCGTCGTCTTCGTCATCATCGTAATCCACCCTAAACGAGAAGATCATTGTTGGCAAAATCGAACAATACTCTTTCTATTTCGTGAACTTACATCATCTCTGCTGCGGTACTTCGAATATGATTTTGTGCGATAACACCACGATAGGCATTAACTTCTGCTACTTCACGATTTTCAGTCGTTTCTTTCAATTGTGTTAGAACACGTAGAGCCTTGCTGCCATCAACAGCTGTATAGACAACTTGTACTTGAAATGGTAGTTGTGTCAATTCATCAAGATCCAGATTCCATTTGTCTTTCAATTCTAAACAAACAGTGTACCATTGAAAACCGAGAGTTTTCTCGTACTGTAGATGAACTTACCTTGTTTGCTGCGTATGCCGAATTCAAATGTGATTTCTGTTTGTTTAGTTACATTACCAATGTCGCGTTTAACAGTTTCGAGTTTGTCATCGGGATTATCAGGATTGCGTATATACAAACCGCGGTGAACAATTAAAGTAGCTTCGACATTGGTGGCGATAACTTTTTGTTCGAGTATAGAAGCAAATTCATCACGAATATTCAACAAATCAACGATTGTGACATTGCCACTTGTACCGTCAGCCTGCAAATCAAATAGGTAAAGTCGAAATTATCAAAAAAAGAAACGAGAAGGAAGCTTAATTTACCATCTGTCCGATCACCGGAAGTAGACATGCAGTACCTAGAAAGAATAAAATGATATTTATTAAATGCCTATCATAGGATGACAATTACCTTTGATTGTAATTACAGAAATGCTGACACCTTTTTCTCGTGCACGTTCAGTTACTAAACAAAATGAACTTATGGTTAGTTCATACGAACAAGTTCGTCTTACGTCCAGCGTAGAATTGATTTCCTTCCGAGAGTGCTTGCATTTTAACTTCTTGATCGACTTTTTCGTCTTGGGCTGTTTCTAAACTACCTAAACCTCGATTGGCCAAGCCTAGAAAAAAAGAATCCAATGATTCTTTCACATCAATGCAAGTGAGAACACACCATCGGTGCAAATAACAATTTTTGATCCTTGCCGTTTTGATGCAATATTCAGAGCGAAGAGAACAGCTGGACCGAGAGCTGTTTGTCCACCTTCTTCAAGGTCGTACACACGCTGAGTTAAATTCGTTTTCGTCTCTGACACAGGTTTCAATTCATTATTTTGTTCCTGTTCAGCTTCACGTGTTAAATCATCTGCACTATTTAATTTATCTCCGCGAATGACTAATGGTTCAGCGCGTGTGCCATCACCTAAAAGTCAATACGAACATGATTAATTATCTTCACACGAAAATGAAATTATAAACGTACCATAATAAGTTATTTCATGATTAAATGTTAACAAAGCTGCACGTCTTGTGGGCGCATCTTTTGCAAGTTTATCTAGATTTGCATCAACCGCCATTTGTACGCCCTGCAAACGTGAAACATATGTTTGATGACGATCGCGAACCATTCGTTCACCATCGAAATTAGCGGCAGCACGATCCTGTAGTTGTGCTGCATTGGGTAGTCGGAATGTTCCCGGCACTGTTGTTGTCGATGACATCGAACCACTGATGTCAACAACAAAAATCACAATCGAATCGTCCACACCAGTCATATCGGAACCGTGGACAACAGGTGCTGGCGATATTAAATATGTAGCATCCTCTTTTTTTGGCAAATCTGTTTGTTCGATATCGACTGTATTTGATTTTGAACAGAATTCACATTGCCACGTGGCATCTTGATTTTCTCCCATTTGGACTTTGCTCAAATGTGAAGCAATGGCATGACAATCTGCGCAATAGACCGGGTCACCAGCATGCATCTCGCCTGAAGAGAAGGATACAATGAAATACCCCAACTACTTTACACGCGATTCGCATGAATATTTACCTGGTTGAAGTAATTGATTGAATTTAACATTTAAAACATTTGTATCAGCTTTTCGCAAACGCTTCTTTCGTTTTGCATGGCTTGTTGCAGCAACAGCAGCTCTTGCTTCATTGGACTCACTAGAACAAAACGCGTTATTTTTCGATCCGACCTTCAAGAATATCAATACCTGGTCAAGGCCAAGGATGGTGCTGCTGGAGGTTGAGCGATCACAAGATTGTCTTCATCATCTGATATTGACTCATCTGAGGAATGCTCGTATTTATAAACGTATTTCGATCCGAAATCCATAGTAAGTATGTTTTCGTCAAAGCAAAAATAAAGACTCTGCTTGCTTTACTTGTTGCAAAAAAAGATGAAAGTGAGCATGCAAGGAAGAAGAAGAAGAAGAAAAACAAGTCTTTACGTTGTTGTTTTTTCTCTATATGGTGTAATTCGATGAGTCATCAGGGATATTACACATCATCATTGAAACATCATGTCAATACTGATTCATATTTGCGCATAGATGAGAAAAAAGATATTTGTCGAATGTGGTCAATCGTATACAAGAGAATCATTTCAAGTCAGTCATTTATTGCTTGAAATGAAAGAGAGACTACATGTACACACAGACATATATGTGGAAAAATACAAAAGGAAAATAGGGCCATCGAAATGAAGACTTTGTGGGTTGAAGTCAAATTTTTAATTCGTCAAATCAGATATTAAGTATTGTTTGGAAAATTGATTTAATTCATTGTTGATTTTATCGCCTTGCTTTTGGATCTTTTTACCTTTCTCAATGTAGGATTTGAATTGATAGATGGCATTCTTCAAATCTTGAATGTTATCAATCACATCATCTTTTTCCAGAGCGACATAACGCACAGTTTGAGCGAAATACATTGATAATTCTTGTTGAACTTGCGCACTGGCATTGCCAGATGTCAGATCAACAATCAGCCGCATCTTTGATGATGCATAGTCAGCATACTGACGTTTAAATGCACGTTCTTGAGCAGTTTTCGTCCACATCAGTCGTTCGTAAAGATAAAAACTTCCATAAACACCGGCAACAACGCCCAGCATTTTCCAGCCGACACTTCGCCATATCAGTGCACAGGCACCTAACGCCAGAAAGCTCGATGTTGACGTTAATTCTGTTAGATGATTTGCAGTTGTAATCAAATCATTCGACGAATTGAGAAACGATGAAGATTTCGATTTCGTTTGTTTCTCGTTAAACATAAAACGTTCCCAGAGAGATGTTAGACCCAATGAGAACTTGAATTGGATGTCTTCACGAAAGTCTGAACATAGATTGGAACAGTCTAAACGATATGATATGGCGAAGTCAGAGCGTGGAACAATTGCATCGACGTAGGCACGACGTTCAGCAGTTGTTAAGACAGATTTGACGCGATCTTTGATTTCGTTATGCACAGTATCGAGGGCGGCATGAAGAGCGGTATGAAGACGATTTTGTAAGTTGGATCCCAAACGCTCTTCCACCCACCGATGAAGATCTTGTTTATAAAGTGGAATTTGACTGCGTTCAGTAGAAAATGGTCGATCAAATTCATCAATTAGAGTATACAATCTAAAACATTGAAAAGTCACGCGTTGGCAGTCGATGGATGAAGAAGATCGTGCTTACCGTCTGATTTCATCGTTTAATGTTTGTGCTACTCTTTTGTAAACATCTTCGGAAACATGTCGTATTCTTTCTTTCGCTGAATCCGTCATTGACCGAAGTTCATGTTCGAGAAAAACATTTTTGTCTTCTGTTTCCTTCAATTTCGTCAGGTATTCTTCTTTATTCGTTTGTGATCTATTGATTATGTTCGCGATTGTCTCACATAAGAACGTAATGATTTCTTTTCCACGATTGGTATGCTGCTGAAATTTAGTTTGCACAGCAGTTTTCGATATACACTTTTCGAATTCATGTTCGAATTTATTAAATTCATGGAGTCGTTCTCGGTATCCTGGAAAATCATCGTTATGTCGATTTATTTCTGAGAAGTCAACCTCACCTTCGTTGTATCCGCTTCGCGGTGACGTACTAGGATCCGTATTTCGATTTAATAAGGCTTCACGGGCTGAAATGAAGAACATTCGATTCTCGCTCGCTTCTTTTCGATCACATAAATTCAATTCATCACAGAGAAATTCTAAACCGCGATCGAGATGTTGTTGTCTTACCTTGAATAAACGACCTTTAGACATATGAAGTGATAAAATGATCTGTTCTTACTGATTCAACCATCTCGGGTTCATTCGCTGTTGCATCCCATCGATTCATTAGAATAAATATATTTGGATTCGATAAGCGTTGAGCAACATTGTGAAGGAATTTCTTTTCCTATGGTGACAATGACAAAAAAGTGGATTCAAAAGGCAATGAACTTACTGAAACGGTGATCGTAGATTCGGCAGATATCACAAGAATAAAAACATCAGCGTCTAAACAGTATTTTTCAATCCATTCATCAAGATTCGTTGATACATCGATACCAGGACTATGAAAACGTAACAACTATCGTGTTGAAAGCATGGTTGAACGTTATATTACCTGTCAACAAGGACAACATCATCTCGTATGAGTCGACATTTTTCCTTTGGCCAAAGGATTTTCACCAAAGAGTCCGAATCTAGTTTCTCACTTGATAACGCATTACTAATGCTGCTCAAATTCTACACCCCAAATGTTTGTATTTATTTCATAAATCAACAATGGTCGACATGACTTACGTGAACACTTTTCAATTCTTCCGAGCCAGGTATAAGCACTACAGCCTCCATCTTATCTGTACCTTCAATCTAAACACCAAACAATTGTTGGTTTCACTTTCAATACTATGAAAACGTACTTGAAGAAAACAATTCGTTGTATGGCCCATTCCGACCGGCAAGATTCTTTCTCGTAACATCGCATTCATCACAGTACTTTTGCCATTACTCGTTCTGAAAAAAAAAGAAGAAGAAGAATTTCTAACATAGAATATCAATGTTAGAAATTGAACCTTCCGAAGAAAACGACTTTCATATGATCACGTGAAATGATTGACAAGATTCTATTGACTCTCTCTTTCAGTTGTTGACTATCTTTATATTTATCGATCGCAAGCAATTCTTTGTCTGATTTCATTACATCTAAATTAACAACAAAGAAACCAGTTAGATTCAGTCAGGAATGACGATGATCGCACAAACCAGCTAGATAGATGCTCGAATCGTTAACAAACGATGCGATGTTCTTGAAAATATCGGTGATTGTCATTTTGGCATGTGTAAACAATTTCAATGGAGAATTGCCATCTAAATAAGAAATCCGCTATAGTTGTGGAAGCGGGAGGAATTGATTTCCAAAATGATTTACTCGTGACATTATTCTGACGAATTGATCCGTATAATGTCGGTTTTTCTCGGATAATACTGCCTGACATGATGATTTATCTGAAAAGAAGAAGTTCATACATCATTACTCGCATGTCTTTGAATAATTGCTTGAATTCAAATGTCTGAAATCATTTGACAGACATATCACCCTTCGTCATTTGCTGATAAAATCAATTTTTGAAATGAACGATAAGTTCCCGTGAAAGAAATCAAAGTACAATCAATCAGTCAGAATCTAGATTTATTATTTGATAGTTTTCGTCCAACGATGTTTAGAGGTGAGAGGGCGCTCGTTTATGTATCTATGCGACAACACACACATATATATATATACTTGATTTTTTCGATTATTCTTTTTTCGAAAACATCTTCTCACATTGTATTTAAAGCAAATGATGAGAATTTATAGTTCATAGCTTATGACAACATTGAAAGAGGTTAAAAGCTGTTGAGATAAAGGAAGAAGAATGGCAAATGATTTGTTTATTCAATAAAATTTTCCGTAGGTGAACATTTCATTCGTTGTTCTTACATTGAAACACTTCGTTTGCCACGATAACGTGACACTGAATTTAATGGAGATTGATGAATATGATAATCATAACCATTGACATAGTACCGACCTTGAGAATCTAACATTCGATGTGGATTGGATCGGCTGTTGGCCCAAAGTAAGTTGTGAAATGCACGTTTACCAATTCGTGGAAAAAGAACACTGCGTTGCTCGAGATTTTCATCTGTTGCCTCTTCGCTATTAGTATTAACATCTAACAACGACGAAAGATCTTCGTTATCATAGATTGAACGGCCAATGCGTGGAAATTTGGTCGTACGAACATAACGATCAAAATATGAAGGTGAATTGAAATCCAATTGTCTTATTTCATTCGAATCAACAACATACGCGCACTAAGAAAGACAAAGTCGATGTCAGTGTACTGTCGGCCGACAAAAATGAACACTTACCGATGATTTAAGGAAGATTATCATGGCAAGACAGCAGCTAGCAAGGATAAATGTTGATGGTAACGATGAAATAAACATGGTGATGAATTTTTAAAAAAAAGTTAAGAATTAATATTAGGATTTGATCTGTAAAAAAAGTAACGTAGAGAACACATTATGCTGGAGTATATATATATATACAGCTTCAAGTTGTTATGGAAATAAGATTTTCAGGAGGAACAGTCAAAGTGTAGGAGGCACGAGAAACAATAGTCAGATTGATGATGAAAAGACGGCGAAGAGAAAAGAATCTTTGTTTCAGTTCGAACAAATCAGAGAAAGAACTGTCTCACAAATCGGAAAGACAATCGATCGAGTACGAATGCATTGTTACAAAGGTCGGAAACATGGGCGGACACATTTTCCCTTAATAAACTCAATTTTTGAGGAAGTTATGCTTGATGAATTATTGCGCCTGTTGCTATTAATGACCGTCCCACACAGATTTCCCTAACTGACAATCTGCGGTGAAGTTATTTAAAGAATATTGAAAAAATCTGTCGGAAATTCATTAAATAATCGATTCAGTGAGAAGAAAAGAGTGAGAAAATGTGGAACTCAACATAGGTGATGTTTATTACGCATCTGAAAAGAAAAATCGAACAACAATATTAGTGTGATGTCGGGAATTTATTCAGTAGAAATATCCAAGAGAAGATGTGACCTCAATTGACAAACATCTCACTATCTGATTTCGTGTTATGGTTAATTTTGATCCGCTCATTTCCTTCCGATATTTCAACCTACGGATGGAATGGTTTTAGATTTGCCTTCCAGATAAATCAACGTTGCTCTCGACACGATGTAGTATGAGAGTTATTCATATGACGACAAACTATCATTAAGCTTCTCTAAAGATCGACTAGCGTGAAGACAAAGAGTCTTTGTTAGATTGGAAATATTAACGATACAGAACATTTGCTAATAATACACGACTGAGATGAGATTTAGTCTCAAATTTCAGTCAACTTCGATTAGAATTTGCGACAATAAACAAATCAAAACAACAAAGATATTAAGTCTAACATAATTATCGGCGAGTACATTTGCCTGTACTTACGTCATTCTGATTTATTGTCGTACTTTAGCAACGAAGTACTACGCTGAACGTACTTAAATTGAAAACAAGTCAAATGTCTGTCAATACTACATGAACTATGGACCAAAGTTGTTCGGTTTCTTTGATGTGAATGAAAACATTTGCCATTGCTTGCTTAAACATCCATTATGATCTTCCTCCTACTTACACTTAACTCATCGAAAGTTCCAGTGGACCAACACTGTTGAAGTGGGAGACGAGTGAAAACGAAGGAGGTTGTTTTTCGATTCCAATCTCAAGATAACACAAAGTGCACTACTGCGTCGATCGGAGACAAGTTTTCTCTTTTAAAATTGCAAAACTCTCTGTTGTTTCATTAGAGAGACCAATAAGTTTTCAACTGATGTTGATTTTATCTATTTTCTCACATTTGAATAAATCGCGAGAACCTTCAATGAGCACCATAATTGTGACTCCATCTCGCCAATACAATTTGCCAGTTCGATTTTGAATCCTCTTGACATAGCATTCACATGCAGTTAGTCTTAGGAATAATTATTATCGACTAGGAATGATCTTTCTCAAAATTTCAACAAATATCGAATAGAAAGCGAAGTTTCTCTTTGCAAACAAGATCGTCTTTCTGGTCGACGATCTTTTTCAAACTAGAATTGTTGTTATCTACTATTTCGCCTGTCTGAATGTCTTCAATATATTCATCGATCTTCTTTCAATGACATTTCCAGACATGAAATCACAATATTCAGTCAAAAAGTTTACGAGTAATAAAAAATGGATTCGATTCTTCTCAAGTGCACTTCAAATCGAACGCAAATTATGCGAGAATCGTTTGATACGCATCGTATTTTCGTTCGCGAACTGTTTGATAATCAGACTCTCTTCACTGAAGATAATTGATGAATTGTTCTTGTTGTCTTGCGTGCTTATGACAAGAGGATCTTGTCGATTATATAATACATATTGGTGAAGACAGTTTTGATCGACGATGATTACGAGAACAAAAAAAAAAGATGTCTAGAATATCTGATTAGTGCCAGATTTCTTTCGATGAAAGCGTTTCTTTTTCAAAAGAAAGTATTCATTCAGAGATGTGACAACAGTCGCCAAAGTTTTTCTCATGTTTTCAGCTCATATCATCGTTCGTTTCTCTTATGGTAATAAATATTATACACCTGCTGTTTTCTGAAACATCAATAAAAGAGATTCTTTCTTGTCATCTATTGATTTGATCTATGTGTATATGTGATTTCGAAAACAGATGCTCGGACTAGAAAATCGATCATCATTAGAGTGTCATGAAGTCCCAACAACAAGAACATATAGTACCGATAATAAGAGTGGGTAATTTTCAATCAATTTATCATTGTTACGATCTGGTTATTTCTTTCATCATAAAGGTATGAGATACCTTCTAGTCCTGAGTCGTTTTTACATATGTGATCTTACTTATTCGTATGGATAAATCCTTATCTATTGAAACACTTAGCGACAGATGGATCAGGAAACGATTCTATTGGTGGAGGTTTTTCAAACCAATGAATAAAATCCGTTTTATATTGCGCGACGCGTTATTTGTTTATTTGAAGAAGTTTCTATTCCATTATCAAATCCATCTCATTGATGAATATCTGCCATAGTTCGAACGATTTTTCGACGAAACTTTTATCTTCAAACCTCACCTATGACTACCTTGTACTGTCGTTCATTTCAGTTATTCGAAGGTCGTTTTCTTTTGTCAAGGTCTTCTTCGTTAACCGTTGTCGATCTTATTCGTATACCTAGTTGTGTATTCAACCGACCTTGACAATTAATTTTTTTTTTCTTGCTTCATTTTAGATCGATTTCTCTGATCTTGCAGAACGTATCGATTAGCGATACAAATTATGATTGAAAATAATCGACTATCTGATCTATGAACGCTATCTTGATTGTATATGTGTAAGTAAACGGTTGTTGAGCAAAGGCAAACGATGAGATTTTGTTTTTGTTGTTAGAGAAAGAAACCTATTTCAATTTGCGATGTCAATTTGAACAACATGAGTGAATATGAACTTTTACGTAAAAGCTCCACACAGCAAACTTATTCACCCGACTCAAATAACGAATTCGAGGAAACGTTCGATGATCGGAATGGTTCTATCATGCTTGATAACAATAATATCATCATGAAAACACCTCAATCTCTTGATGATCTTCTCGATGTTGATGATAATAACAATGAAAACGATGAAGAGAATGAAAATCTTGATCAGAATAATGATAATGACGACGATTCAACGCATTTAATCATTGATCATCCAAATCCAGCAGAACAAACAAAACAAAAGAAATCTATCGAGAAAAATGGTAAGATTTGATAGCTCGTTAAGTAATGAGTATGTGCGATTATGTAAACTCTCTGAATGGAGATCATCTTTACAATGCTCAATGCCAACATATACTCATTATTGTCTGTTCTCCTATATCTTTCTAAACATGTGGGTGTGTTAGATAAGTTTGTATCGATTAATCTCTTTCTCAATCGTTGAACAATGTCTGTCGTATATAATTTTTGCTTCAACTAGTTTTATTGAGTGTGTCTGACCAGCGAGTTATAATGCCCTTCATATATAAGGTTATGCACATTACGAACGAACAATCGTCTAGTCACTATACAATCTAGTGCCTGACCGCTCACATTTACATCAAGATTTTTTTTGTCTTTCTATCACATTGACGACAGACGATGTTGCCTAGTTGATGGTCTGTCAGACGACGAGAGAGGACAAATCAAATGACCTAGATCTACTCAGACATGTTCGGTCATTGTCGTTATAAAAGAATGAAAGCATAAATTCTTTTGAGCAGCAACTGTGCTTTTGATTCTTCTACCATCATCGTATTAATCGAGATCATTTATTGATTGCAAGGGCATCAAGCTAGTTTCTTTTTGGTACATAATCTTGATATGTACACATATGAAGCAAACGAGAAAGAACGTTCTCGCATCCACGAGAAGGAGGGAGGGAGGGAAAGAGATTAATCGATACAAACTTATCTAACACACCCACATGTTTAGAAAGATATAGGAGAACAGACAATAATGAGTATATGTTGGCATTGAGCATTNAACGCAAAAATGGTTAATGAATGTGAGTATGTGCTTCTGTGCGACACATACACACACCGAGAGAAGTGCACGAATGCTTTGTTTGTCCAAACGATTAACGATGTTGCGCAAGGCCAACATGCACAATTCGCTCGAATTTCAATCGTCATCATCATCATCATCATCATTATCATCAGATGACTGTTGGGATGAGGGTGGAGAAAAGGGGATGTTCATCGGGTACACGTTCGTGTTACGTCTTTGCGGCGTACAAAAAGAGAAGGAGAGAGAGAGAGAGCACAAGCGTTTGTATACGAACGTAAAGCACAGAAATAGTAACGATGTTGCGTCTTTCTCTGTTCCCCACGCCCCTTCTCATCATCATCATCGACTTGTAGGAGTACGAGGATGTGTTGGGAAGTAGTTGTAGTTATTGTAGTAATAATAGTGATGGTAGTGGCGGGTGCACAGAACAAGAAGAAAAAAAGGTCAAAGAAAAACGCGCGTCGAAAGCGGCCACGTCCAGCTTCGACGTGCGTGTGAACTCTCATGTCGCCGCCATCACCGTTGTTATATTTACAACAAAAGCATTCTTTTCTTTTTTCTCTTCTTCGTCTTTCTTTCTTTCTTTCTTATTCCTGTTTCATACCAATTCCCACTCATTCATATGTGCACACAGCTGTTGACTTTGGTGGTTTACGCAATTTTTAACTGATGTTTAATTATTCTACCTCATCTATCTTCGATTTGTATGTGTGTAATACGAACAACGATTTATTATTTAATAGACTAATTTTATTATAAATAGAACAGAAAAACCGGGAAAGTTCTAGTAATGACATACGAAAGTGCTCACCTGTGTGTGTGTGTGTATATAAATATTGATTGAAATGTGACAGAAAAATGTTAATTTGATTCGCATAAAAACAAACGATTTGATTTGGAAATTGTAGGTCCAGGTGTCCTGGACGTGCCATCGCCGGACGTTGGACTCGATGTCAAGTTTGGTTTCAATGATCTATGTCCTGTATGCGGTGATAAAGTCAGTGGGTTTCATTATGGTCTCTTGACTTGTGAATCATGCAAAGGTACGAAAGAGAAAGAAAACAAAGAAAAAAAAAAGATCGTTTTGAATCTCTTCCTTCAGGATTCTTCAAACGAACAGTACAAAATAAGAAGAACTATCAATGTATCGATAAACAACAATGTCAAATCGATAAAACTCAACGTAAACGTTGTGCATTTTGTCGGTTCAAAAAATGTTTACAAGTGGGGATGAAGCTAGAAGCTGTTCGAGAGAATCGAGTACGAGGTGGGCGAAACAAATTCGGTCCATTGTATCGTCGAAGTCGAGCTTTACGTCAGCAAATCATGCGTCAGCATTTTGTCAGTATGGTCAAAGCACAACAAAACATGATTCCTAATGGCAACGGAATGGACAATGGACAAGGAGCATTGGATATAACAGGCAATGCTATGCAAGTGAAATCCGAACCTGAACAACCAAATCTTCATCCATTTCAACACATGTATTCGAATCTACAAACGACGACGAATATCAATCACCCATCACACTCACATCACCCAAACGCCCATCAATCACATCATCAGCATCATTATCAACAACAGAAATCATCAACGTTTCCTGGTGTTTATCCCGATTTCTTCAATCCAAATTCATCAATTACAAACAATACACGTTTACAACAACCGTTTCAATTGAACCCATTCGATTCCTACTATAAGAATTCTTCAGCATCGTCAACAGCATACGGTCATTCGCCTCCTTCTTTACTTTTACCATCCAATAGCAACAGTAATCCACCGTCGGGCTCATCGAACTCAAGTTCATCGCCTGTCGGTCAAATCTCATCGAAATTACTTGATTATCAAATCTCATCACCATCAACCACAGGAACAACGACAACTGTTAGTACAACTAATTCAACATCACACACGTCGTCGATTTTGAGTACATTAACTATGCAGCAACAATCAATGACCACTAATGATTCGATGCATACAGATACGAATAACGGCATATCTTCAATCTATTTTTATAATAATCAGTACTTAGCACCGAGTTACGATATTAATGATACAAATAATATTCCCGAAACGTTAACTAAGCTCATTGAATCAGATCAGGCTTATCGAGTATGAACAGAAAGCGAATGTTGAAAAAGGAAAACCCTTCTTTTCTCTTGTAGTGTACGGAAGTACGTTATATTGAAGATATTCAACAGATTCACATTGATTTGAATCGTGATGGTGGTGATATATTAGTGGTCTGTTCACTATTAGATAAACTATGTTTTCTAATGGTTGATTGGGTATGTCAAAAGACTCCACTTGTGATTTGTTTTCTATTCAATGGATTTTCTAGGCACGACAATCATTATATTTCAAAGATATTCAGGTAAATTCCACGTTTGAATTGTTTTGCAATAACGTCGTTCTTTTAGATTGATAATCAGATAAAATTATTGAAAGCAGCATGGATTGAAATCTTAATTATTGACCTTATTTGGAAACAATGTCAACAACCAAAAGAAACGTGTGTCAATTGTATCGTTAGTGTATGTAGAAAGTCTCCCTACACCTCATCCCTCCAAATTTTCATCTTTATCATCTTGCATAGGCTAATGGACAACTATTAAATATCAATTTGATTCAAAATCCTGCTGTTAAAAAGCTTGCAGAAAGATATTTACAATGTGTAAATGATTTTCGTCAGTTACAGTGGCAAGTATGTATCAATTAGTTCTACTTTCTTGCTCAAATTGATTGATTGATGTCTCTCTATTTGATTTTAGTATCCAGAATATCTTGCACTAAAATACCTTGTTCTCTTCGATCCAGGTAAAAATTTGTCATTTGAAATTTTTCATGCGTCACCTTTGAACGCGAGCAGCGTACGTTTTGTTAATAGAATGACTTGTGCGAGTACACTTTCTGATACGATTGCTAATTGAAGGACTAAGACAGCGAGCGTTTCTTTTTTTTTATAGTCAGGGTCTTCGTGTTAATTAGTTCGACTCGTTTTATGCTTGTCAGTTTCTTCGCTCGAAATATCAAAAAGTCAAATATGTGAAATCTCGAGTGATACGATCAGCCAATAGGCATACGAAGGCGATGCAAATCCTTGATCTGGCTTGCTTCTAAGTCGATTGTTTGTTTCAGATGTTCAAGGCGTCACGGAATCGAGTTTAATCGAAGAAGTTCAAGAGAAAATCACGAATGCATTAGGTGAATACACAACCGATCATAATAATCCATCGACATCAAACTCAACCAACCGTTCTCCATCTCAACAACAAGCACCAACCAATGAACAAGAGAAATTTGCTTGTATTCTGTTAAAACTGCCCGATGTGCGTTTGATTGGCAATGATTTGAAGAAATTTTTACAACTAATTGATCGTAAACACAGCGGCAAGCTTCTTGACGGTTGTTTACTTGGCGAAATGCTCAACGGTTTACAATCGAATAATTAAATTCATGAAATAATCATTACACACGTGTGTGTTTTCTGCTTCTTCTACTTTTTCTTCTATTATCACTCAGGTCCACCCATTGCTTCTCTACTTCTCTCTTCAGACATTCATCTTGTCTAAAGGGAACTTTTGTACAGTCTTTTTATTTGTTGTTTCAAACATCAATTCTTCTATTTCTTTTCTCAGTCACTTGGAAATAACAGTGTGCGAAAGCAAATTGGTCTAAGAACCATCTTGAGAGAAAAACAGTGACATATATTGCTATCTCTTTACATCCTTCGTTTTAATCAGAGAGTTGTATCATTCTTCTCTTTCTTCTCGTTTTTCTTTTCGTTTATTGCCTTTCGTTTTATTTGCTGCTACTTTGCATTATTCTTTTAAAATTTTACTAGTTGTTTGCTTCGTTTTTCTTTTTCGTTTTTTCCTGACCGACTAATTGATCGACGACTCTACAAAACAGGCAGATGTTTGGCAAAATTCACGATATTTGTTGTGTTTTTTTTTCTTTCTTTTTCGATAAAAGAAATAAGGAGTTACATATTTAATATATATATACATACATATACATACACATCAAAGTCTTGATTATTACCTATGCAGTGTGTGTATGCTTACTCAGGTCATTTTTCCTTATTTTCTGTTTGTCTCTCTCAGGGGTAACCAAGTAAAATCCTCATTTGTCAGTTGATTTGTTTTGTTTTTCTTTTTTCAATTAGATCTCGGATCAAGAAGAGCCTGGTCTGATGGTTTTTTTTTTCTTCTTTTATTAATATTATTAAGTGAACACCACGTGTATTGTCACTACTTGTGTGTGTGTATACAAAATATTTTTTTGTGTGCGTGCGCGTTTGTTTTTTCTTTGGAAAAAATAAAAAAAAGCCATTTCAATCATAGAGATATGTCCGGTTTTAGTTTTTCCATAGATGAAACGATCATTTCATTCTAAAACAAACAAATGGATAAGCACAAATGGATGAGTGTTGCAAAACGTATCTGTTGAGATTCTAATTAACATACAGATTGAAAAACTCATATTCGATCGGATATGACAACAATTCCCTATAGAATCGATCAATGCGTGAGAAGAGATTTGCCCATTGAGAAGAAAGTCATCCTTGCTTAGCCTATTTCCTCATCATGAATGAACAAACCTGTAAACAGTATTGAATAAAATCTTCTTTGTAGATGAGACCATTACCGTGTATGTCCCAATTCTAAACGAAAGGATGATTTATGAATGAGATGGATTGATAAGACGAACGTGAAAAAATTGATTCGTTCGTTCTTCGATAACGTTTGTAATCGAGGTGTAGTTAAGTTTACAAACGGGAACAATCAGCTGAAACACGGCGGCGACTAGTTGAAGTAATTCCTAAAGATTTGGACGAAGTTAATGGTAAGTTTGCTTGCTTGACGTTAGAATACAAACCAATCGGGTGATTTTACCATCTTTGTTCAAGTCGTATAGATCGAATACCCAACTGACACGTTCTTCAATTGAACCGTGTATTAATAAAGCGAATGTCGTGATCAAATCTTCGAAGTGAATCGTTCCTGTGTTGGACCGATCGATATTTCGAAAGAGAAATATCGAGTAACGATAGCATTCTTAAACAACAAGAGAAATATGTTGATAGACTCAATACAAACATAGAAGAAACAGACCACCAGTCGGAAATAGTGTAGAGATGATTGACACAAAATGTTCTTTACTAACTTGACCAGATGGACTATCCTATTAGAAAGAAACAGATGAGATGACATTGCCCCCCTTCTCTCCCCTCGCAAATGAAGATTTACTTGTTTGAATGTTCGATACAGATGTCGAATTTGTTCTTTCGAAAAGTTCGTTTTTTTCACCAGTTCTGTTATCGAACACGATGGTCGCGAGATTGGTGAAACAGCTGCAGTATTTTCTACAAAATGTGACAATCTTCAATGATTTTGTCTTTGTTAAAATAATCGTTAAAAAGAAATCGTTTCGTCTTTTGTTTTACTTGTTTCTGCCTTCTTAAAACTGACATTCAATCGGCGTGTTTTATTAAGTACTTGAATGGATGTTTCGACCACTTGCCACATCTGGTATTTTCTCTTGATTAATAATGATGTTTATGTATATGTTGAGATTTAATAATCAGGGAAAAGTGAAAGAACTGATTCGGATAACAAGAAATGCCTGTAAATGTTTGGAGGCAATGTGGAAAATGAAAATCAAAGAAAATCTCATCTCTCGAGAAATCACTATGCATCGAGATTCGTTCAAATTCATCTCTTACCACTCTCTATCTTGTAATTGTCATTACTTCCGCCACCACCCGCAGATCGTACGACATTCATATCTATAATCTAAAGTAACATATAGTTAATAATTGTAATGCCAATCTTGTCTTTCTCTCCCTCGTTTTTCTTCAATGTTTTCTAAATTGCCGATAGTTTTTGCTTAGTCTCGTCTTCACAACATTGACGATTGTGATCAAATGAGAAATTCACCATTAGAATAATGTGAGTTTTTAATGATCCTAATTATGTTTTCTCTCTTTTTTTTTCACAATAGCGACAATCGAATAGCCTAAGAGTCGGTTCTGTTTTCTTTTCTCTCGAATGAAAACATTATTGTATTGAATAGGAACAGTTGTTTGTCTGTCTTTCATTTGGTCTCGGCTGCGTAGGAAAAATTTACATGGTTAGTTAAGAATACTGATGCGTATCTCGTTAAATGCTAAATGAGATGCTAATTGTTGTCAGATTACTATTGATGGAAAGTGAACAAACAATACAATGCTTTTCTCAAAGTCAATTATGTAATTGTCTCTACCATAATCTCGCGAATAGTTCTCTAATTTTATTTAGAAGATATCTATGTGTCTTATCTGATTGACTGTATTTCGGTATCAAAAGTTTCAATCAACTATTGCCGGATAATCTTCTATACATACCGGCTATCTGATGTCAGGAAATAATAGATAAAAGTATGCATTTAAGATACGATAATTGAAATGCCAGTGTCAAATATTTCTGGATCCTTTTCCAGATCAATGGAACAGCAGATATTCATAGCCCGGAAGAAAAAACGTCCCTCACGAATCCAGTATCTTGTTATGTATGTATCTCCATTGCTTTTTCTCCCAGAAATAACCAAGGTCGTTTAAACCTAGCTCGTCTCTCGTTAGTTAAATTTCAAAACTCGTCTTTTTCGAGTCGATATTAGAAGATAATTGATTCAATTAATATACAATTAACACTTGTTTGTCTTGATTATAGAGATAAAAACCAGATGATCATTTATTTGCCTTGTTCCATGTTGTTTGCTTCATGTCGTTTATTCACGGTAAAAGAAATCATCAATCGAACGCTATTGTATTGTTACACCTTGAAATGCCACGAATCTTCTGCACGGTACGATGGAAATATGTAGTTATATAATTCTTCTGAGACAATCGATTCACTGACTGATACAAAGATGAGGCGAAAGCTTGACTTTGATCATGAGAAGATGAAATATTTGACATGTATTGATCGTCCACAAATCACCGAACTAATAGATAAGACACGGGTCTTGTTTTTCTCTCAAGAAGACATTGATTTTGTCTGACGAGCTGATAACAACAAAGTTTTGAAGATAATAAGAAATTATCGTATCAACTGTTGTCTTCATTGTTCGACCAAGCACAAACGAGAAACGATATTGAAATATGACTGAGATATCATCCATCGTTAATTAACTTATGGAAATNTCGGGCTCATCGAACTCAAGTTCATCGCCTGTCGGTCAAATCTCATCGAAATTACTTGATTATCAAATCTCATCACCATCAACCACAGGAACAACGACAACTGTTAGTACAACTAATTCAACATCACACACGTCGTCGATTTTGAGTACATTAACTATGCAGCAACAATCAATGACCACTAATGATTCGATGCATACAGATACGAATAACGGCATATCTTCGATCTATTTTTATAATAATCAGTACTTAGCACCGAGTTACGATATTAACGATACAAATAATATTCCCGAAACGTTAACTAAACTCATTGAATCAGATCAAGCTTATCGAGTATGAATAGAAAGCGACTGTTGAAAGAAGAAAAACCTCTCTTTTCTCTTTTAGTGTACAGAAGTACGTTATATCGAAGATATTCAACAGATTCACATTGATTTGAATCGTGATGGTGGTGATATATTAGTGGTCTGTTCACTATTAGATAAACTATGTTTTCTAATGGTTGATTGGGTATGTCAAAAGACTTCATTTGTGATTTTGTTTTTCTATTCAATGGATTTTCTAGGCACGACAATCATTATATTTCAAAGATATTCAGGTAAATTCCACGTTTGAACTGTTTTACAATAACTTTGTTCTTCTAGATTGATAATCAGATAAAATTATTGAAAGCAGCATGGATTGAAATCTTAATTATTGACCTTATTTGGAAACAATGTCAACAACCAAAAGAGACGTGTGTCAATTGTATCGTTAGTGTATGTAGAAAGCCTCCCAACACTTTCCCCCTTCTAACTTTCTTCTTCATCGTCTTGCATAGGCTAATGGACAATTATTAAATATCAATTTGATTCAAAATCCTGCTGTTAAAAAGCTCGCAGAAAGATATTTACAATGTGTAAATGATTTTCGTCAGTTACAGTGGCAAGTATGTATCAATTAGTTCTTCTTTCTTACTGAAATTGATTGATTGATGTCTCTCTATTTGATTCTAGTATCCAGAGTATCTTGCACTAAAATACCTTGTTCTCTTCGATCCAGGTAAAAATTTGTCATGCGTCACCTTTGAACGCGAGCAGCGTACCTTTTGTTAATAGAATGACTTGTGCGAGTACACTTTCTGATACGATTGCTAATTGAAGGACTAAGACGTCGAGCGTTTCTTTTTTTAGTCAAGGTCTTCGTGTTAATTAGTTCGACTCGTTTTATGCTTGTCAGTTTCTTCGCTCGAAATATCAAAAAGTCAAATATGTGAAATCTCGAGTGATACGATCGGCCAATAGGCATACGAAGGCGATGCAAATCATTGACCTGACTTGCTTCTAAGTTGATTGTTTGTTTCAGATGTTCAAGGTGTCACGGAATCGAGTTTAATCGAGGAAGTTCAAGAGAAAATCACGAATGCATTAGGTGAATATACAACCGATCATAATAATCCATCGACATCAAACTCAACCAACCGTTCTCCATCTCAACAACAAGCACCAACCAATGAACAAGAGAAATTTGCTTGTATTCTGTTAAAACTGCCCGATGTGCGTTTGATTGGCAATGATTTGAAGAAATTTTTACAACTAATTGATCGTAAACACAGCGGCAAACTTCTTGACGGTTGTTTACTTGGCGAAATGCTCAACGGTTTACAATCGAATAATTAAATTCATCCAATAATCATTACACACGTGTGTGTTTTCTGCTTCTTCTTCTACTTTTTCTTTCTATTATCACTCAGGTCCACCCATTTCTTCTCTACTTCTCTCTTCAGACATTTATCTTGTCTAAAGAGATCTTTTGTACAGTCTTTTTATTTGTTGTTTCAAACATCAATTCTTCTCTTTCTTTTCTCAGTCACTTGGAAATAACAGTGTGCGAAAGCAAATTGGTCTAAGAACCATCTTGAGAGAAAAACAGTGACATATATTGCTATCTCTTTACATCCTTCGTTTTAATCAGAGAGTTGTATCATTCTTCTCGTTTTTCTTTTCGTTTATTGCCTTTCGTTTTTATTTGCTGCTACTTTGCATTATTCTTTTAAAATTTTACTAGTTGTTTGCTTCGTTTTTTCTTTTTTTCGTTTTTTCCTGACCGACTAATTGATCGACGACTCTACAAAACAGGCAGATGTTTGGCAAAATTCACGATATTTGTTGTGTTTTTTTTTCTTTTTCGATAAAAGAAATAAGGAGTTACATATTTAATATATATATACATACATATACATACATATGAAAATCTTGATTATTACCTATGCAGTGTGTGTATGCTTACTCAGGTCATTTTTTCCTTATTTTCTGTCTGTCTCTCTCAGGGATAACCAAGTAAAATCTTCATCTGTCAGTTGATTTGTTTTGTTTTTCTTTTTCAATTAGATCTCGGATCAAGAAGAGCCTGGTCTGATGTTTTTCTTTCTTCTTTTATTAATATTATTAAGTGAACACAGCGTGTATTGTCACTACTTGTGTGTGTATACAAAATATTTTTTTGTGTGCGTGCGCATTTGTTTTTTCTTTGGAAAAAATAAAAAAAGCCATTTCAATCATAGAGATATGTCCGGTTTTAGTTTTTCCATACATGAAACGATCTTTTCATTCTAAAACAAACAAATGCATAGCTAGTCCCTCGTGTTCGACGTTGCACATGTGAATGAGTGTTGCAAAACGTATCTGTCGAAATTCTGATTAACATACAGATTGAAAAGCTCGTATTCGATCGGATATGACAACAATTCCCTATAGAACCGCTCAATGCGTGAGAAGAGATTTGCCCATTGAAGAGAAAGTCATTCTTGCTTAGCTTATTTCCTCATGATGAATGAACAAACCTGTAAACAGTACTGAATAAAATCTTCTTTGTAGATGAGACCATTACCGTGTACATCCCAATTCTAAACAAAAGACTGACTTATGAATGAGATGGATTGATAAGACGAACGTGAAAAAACTGATTCGTTCGTTCTTCGATAATGTTTGTAATCGAAGTGTAGTTAAGTTTACACACGGGAACAATCAGCTGAAACACGGCGGCGACTAGTTGAAGTAATTCCTAAAGATTTGGACAAAGTTAATCGTAAGTTTGCTTTCTTGACGTTAGAATACAAACCAATCGGGTGATTTTACCATCTTTGTTCAAGTCGTATAGATCAAATACCCAACCGATACGCTCTCTAATCGAACCGTGTATTAATAAAGCGAACGCCGTGATCAAATCTTCGAAATGAATCGTTCCAGTGTTGGATCGGTCGATATTTCGAAAGAGAAATATCGAATAACGATAGCATTCTTAAACAACAAGAAAAATATGTCGATAGACCCGATACAAACATCGAAGAAACAGACCACCAGTCGGAAATAGTGTGGAGATGATTGACACAAAATGTTCTTTACTAACTTGACCAGATGGACTATCCTAGTAGAAAGAAAGAGATGAGCTGACATTGCTCCCCCTGCTCCTCTGCAAAAGAAGATTTACTTGTTTGAATGTTCGATACAGATGTCGAATTTGTTCTTTCGAAAAGTTCGTTTTTTTCACCAGTTCTGTTATCGAACACGATGGCCGCGAGATTGGTGAAACAGCTGCAGTATTTTCTACAAAACGTGACAATCGTCAATGATTTTATTCTTGTTAAACTATTCGTTAAAAAAGAAATCGTTCCGTCTTTTGTTTTACTTGTTTCTGTCTTCTTAAAACTGACATTCAATCGGCGTGTTTTATTAAGTACTTGAATGGATGTTTCGACCACTTGCCACATCTGGTATTTTCTCTTGATTAATAATGATGTTTATGTATATGTTGAGATTTAGTAATCAGGGAAAAGTGAAAGAACTGATTCGGATAACAAGAAATGCCTGTAAATGTTTGGAGGCAATGTGGAAAATGAAAATAAAAACAGAAAAGCTCATCTCTCGAGAAATCAATATGCATCGAGATTTGTTCAAATTCATCTCTTACCACTCTCTATCTTGTAATTGTCATTACTTCCGCCACCACCCGCAGATCGTACGACATTCATATCTATAATCTAAAGTAACATATAGTTAATAATTGCAATGCCAATCTTGTCTTTCTCTCGCTCGTTCTTTTTCAATGTTTTCTAAATTTCCGATAGTTTTGCTTCGTCTCGTCTTCACAACATTGACGATTGTGATCAAATGAGAAATTCACCATTAGAGTAATGTGGATTTTAAATGATCCTAATTATGTTTTCTCTCTTTTTTTTTCAACAATAACGACAATCGAATAGCCTAAGAATCGGTTCTGTTTTCTTTTCTCTCGAATGAAAACATTATTGTATTGAATAGGAACAGTTGTTTGTCTGTCTTTCGTTTGGTCTCGGCTGCGTGGGAAAAAGTTACATGGTTAGTTAAGAATATTGATGCATATCTCGTTAAATGCTAAATGAAATGCTAATTGTTGTCAGATTACTATTGATGACAAGTGAAAAAACAACGCAAGGCTTTTTTCAAAGTCAATTATGTAATTCTCTCTACCATAATCTCGCGAATAGTTCTCTAATTTTATTTAGGAGATATCTTTGTGTCTTATCTGATTGACTGTATTTCGGTATCAAAAGTTTCAATCAACTATTGCAGGGTAATCTTCTATACATACCGGCTATCTGATGTCAGGAAATAATAGATAAAAGTATGCATTTAAGATACGATAATTGAAATGCCAGTGTCAAATATTTCTGGATCCTTTTCCAGATCAATGGAACAGCAGATATTCATAGCCCGGAAGAAAAAACGTCCCTCACGAATCCAGTATCTTGTTATGTATGCGTCTCCATTGCTTTTTCTTCCAGAAATAACCAAGGTCGTTTAAACCTAGCTCGTTTCTCGTTAGTTAAATTTCAAAACTCTTCTTTGTCGAGTCGATATTCGAAGATAATTGATTCAATTAATATACAATTAACACTTGTTTGTCTTGATTATAGAGATAAAAACCAGATGATCATTTATTTGTCTTGTTCCATGTTGTTTCCTTCATGTCGTTTATTCACGGTAAAAGAAATCATCAATCGAGCGCTATTGTATCGTTACACCTTGAAATGCCACGAATCTTTTGCACGACACGGTGGAAATATGTAGTTATATAATTCTTCTGAGACAATCGACTCACTGACTGATGCAAAGATGAGACGAACGTTTGACTTTGATCTTGAGAAGATGAAATATTTGACATGTATTGATCGTCCACAAATCACCGAACTAATAGATAAGACACGGGTCTTGTTTTTCTCTCAGGAAGACATTGATTTTGTCTGACGAGCTGATAACAACAAAGTTTGAAGATAATAAGAAATTATCGTATCAACTGTTGTCTTCATTGTTCGACCAAGCACAAACGAGAAACGATATTGAAATATGACTGAGATATCATCCATCGTTAATTAACTTATGGAAATGCTATCGGTTGACGACGACAACAGAAACGACATGCGCGACAAATCACTTTCGAATAGGAAAACACGTCGCGAACCAATCAAGGAGAATAAGCAATGAGAACAACATCTGTTTGACATTGAAAGACAGAAGTAAAAAACTGCCAAAATGGACAAAAGAGAAGTTTATCAACAAAACAGTTATTGACAATATTGATTGTCGAAGGGGAAAAACATCGAAAGATAAACAATGTTCGAAGAAAACATCGTACACGTCGTCGTTTTGATCGTTCGTCTGATAATTGTAAGAATAATGAAGTATTGATAGCACGAGACAAGCAAACTATGCGTTTTTATCAAAAAAGAAAATGCAAGAACATGATTTCTCATTAGGAACAACTTTTGACAATATGCAGAATTCTATCTGTAGATTACAAATGTACAGATTAGCAGAAATAAAGAAGATGAATAATGTTGAGCAAGACTGATATGACACATACAGATAGACATCTGGCACCCATAAATTGATATAAATGTATATCTGTATGTAATCCTATATTCACGTTAATCTTCTTTTGAAACGTATCGATGCTGTTTGATATCTATTGTAATACGGACGATGATCTTTATCGAGCATTCTAGTCCATCAATGCCGAATTGAATATCAAAACAAGAATGTAGCCATTTTCTTCAATACTGTCGTCTAGAATATATCTGTGTCGTTTATTTTTTCTGTAATTAGTATTATCTTTTTCTCTCGTTCATGAAAGCTCACTATCATGCATACGCGTGACAAAAACGGAAGAACGGAAAAAAAAGAGCAAAGAAAATTCAAAGACAAGACTGTACAAAATACAAAGTACGGTCACTCATTCACATGTCATCTCGACTAGCATTGGAGTCAAACAGGCGCACACTGACCTGTCTGCCGCCAGCTGGGCCTGATCGCGACGATGCTGGATTCACTGCTGATGATACAGCCGAACCAGCCGTCGAACCAGCTCCGCCGCCTCCACTACCTACACGTTTATAAAACTGCCACAACTGTTGAATCAATTCCGTAACTACTAAATCACTTGAGTTATACGAAAGAAGTCTTAGAATAAGAACGCCATCATGTTGCAAATAACGATGAATAAATTCTTTCGCCGGCATTCGTCGAAGATGAGTGTCGCTTTGCATTAGTTCAAGACGCTTTTTGATGTAAGTGTACCGAACACGGCCAAATGAACGAACAAACCATGCTAGTAGATCGTAGGTATTGCACACAGTTAAGAAAGCAAGCCAAAACCATATGAATAGGAAAGCTTTTTCGTTGAATAGATTGATTGGCAAGACACACTGAAAGGAAAGAAGTGTTCGATCTTTGTGGTTTTTATGATTCTTGAGGGTAAGTATTACCTGTACGGTATGAACATGAACATTTTGGATGTTTCGGACAGCAAACTCACACATCGTCACGCGCGGAAAATAGATGGATTCAGCCAGTTCTTCTCCATTGAGGATTTTTCGAATTAAATCAACACCGTAGGATGCAAAATTGTGGCCCAAGAAGATATTTAACAAAAATAGTTGTCCAAGAGAATTGGCAATGAAAAGGAGCTTGGTGACAAAGAAAAGTATTAACAAGTAAGAACCCATTCGACGGCCAGGTACGCAAAGCATGAACGCGAGAAAACGACGAATAAAATCAAATCGTTTACGTTTCCGCTTTCGCATGTAAACATACTGATCGATTGAACGAGTCAAATAAGTCATGATCTTATTTCGATCTTCGAACCGATCGGCCGTTTGATAATTTAATGCAGCATCGACTAGATTAACTATATTTATACCTGATTTCGCTGATAGGGAACGCCACAACATGCGCGGCATATAGAAAAGAACAGCTTGAAAAAGTAAAATGAATGGAGTCCACTGGTAATACTAGAGAAGAGAAAGACACAGCAGTATAGCATCATTAGATCTCTGCATAACTGGCTTCTGTCAGGATTTTCTTACCTTGACAACACGGGTTTTCTTCTTATTTTCGTCTAAAGGTAATGTTTCCGCGGTGGCGACATAGTATGTGTTTGATACCCAACAAATATTATTGGAATAGACTTCATACGAACGAGTGAAATGACCCGGTACCCAACATGCAATGTGATCGGATGAGAATTGTTTATTGGAAACGATAATCGAAAAAATGACGAGGATGATTACTGTATATTTATAGTTTAAACGATCGACTGTACATGTATCACTTCGATGTGATCCAAGAACANATTAGGAACAACTTTTGACAATATGCAGAATTCTATCTGTAGATTACAAATGTACAGATTAGCAGAAATAAAGAAGATGAATAATGTTGAGCAAGACTGATATGACACATACAGATAGACATCTGGCACCCATAAATTGATATAAATGTATATCTGTATGTAATCCTATATTCACGTTAATCTTCTTTTCAAACGTATCGATGCTGTTTGATATCTGTTGTAATACGGACGATGATCTTTATCGAGCATTCTAGTCCATCAATGCCGAATTGAATATCAAAACAAGAATGTAGCCATTTTCTTAAATACTGTCGTCTAGAATATATCTGTGTCGTTTATTTTTTTCTGTAATTAGTATTATCTTTTTCTCTCGTTCATGAAAGCTCACTATCATGCATACGCGTGACAAAAACGGAAGAACGAAAAAAAAAAAGAACAAAGAAAATTCAAAAGACAAGACTGTACAAAATACAAAGTACGGTCACTCATTCACATATCATCTCGACTAGCATTGGAGTCAAACAGGCGCACACTGACCTGTCTGCCGCCAGCTGGACCTGATCGTGACGATGCTGGATTCACTGCCGATGATACAGCTGAACCAGCCGTCGAACCAGCTCCACCGCCTCCACTACCTACACGTTTATAAAATTGCCACAACTGTTGAATCAATTCCGTAACTACTAAATCACTTGAGTTATACGAAAGAAGTCTTAGAATAAGAACACCATCATGTTGCAAATAGCGATGAATAAATTCTTTTGCTGGCATTCGTCGAAGATGAGTGTCGCTTTGCATTAGTTCAAGACGTTTTTTGATGTAAGTATACCGGACACGACCAAATGAACGAACAAACCACGCTAGTAGATCGTAGGTATTGCACACAGTTAAGAAAGCTAGCCAAAACCATATGAATAAGAAAGCTTTTTCGTTGAATAGATTGATTGGCAAGACACACTGAAAGGAAAGAAGTGTTCGATCTTTGCGCCTTTTATGATTCTCAGGGTAAGTATTACCTGTACGGTATGAACATGAACATTTTGGATGTTTCGAACAGCAAATTCACACATCGTCACACGCGGAAAATAGATGGATTCAGCCAGTTCTTCTCCGTTGAGAATTTTTCGAATTAAATCAACGCCGTAGGATGCAAAATTGTGACCCAAGAAGATATTTAACAAAAATAGTTGTCCAACAGAATTGACAATGAAGAGGAGCTTGGTGACAAAGAAAAGTATTAACAAATAAGAACCCATTCGACGGCCAGGTACGCAGAGCATGAATGCGAGAAAACGTCGAATGAAATCAAATCGTTTACGTTTCCGCTTTCGCATGTAAACATACTGATCGATTGAACGAGTCAAATAAGTCATGATCTTATTTCGGTCTTCGAACCGATCGGCCGTTTGATAATTTAATGCAGCATCGACTAGATTAACTATATTTATACCTGATTTGGCTGATAGGGAACGCCACAACATGCGTGGCATATAGAAAAGAACAGCTTGAAAAAGTAAAATGAATGGAGTCCACTGGTAATACTAGAGAAGAGAAAGACACAGCAGTATAGCATCATTAGATCTCTGCACAACTGACTTCTGTCAGGATTTGCTTACCTTGACAACACGGGTTTTCTTCTTATTTTCGTCTAAAGGTAACGTTTCCGCGGTGGCGACATAGTATGTGTTTGATACCCAACAAATATTATTGGAATAGACTTCATACGAGCGAGTGAAATGACCCGGTACCCAACATGCAATGTGATCGGATGAGAATTGTTTATTGGAAACGATAATCGAAAAAATGACGAGGATGATTACTGTATATTTATAGTTTAAACGATCGACTGTACATGTATCACTTCGATGTGATCCAAGAACAGAAAACGGTAAACGTGATACAGTCGCGAATAAGTCCATGGTCGTTTGTTTGACTTAATAACCTAATTGGATAATGACAACGTTTGGACGCCATGTGTAGTCGACATGAACATAACATTAGTATCAACAGGAAAAATACAGAGACGAGCGATTCGAATCGAATTTGAGACGAAGAGGAAGATTTAATAATTCTTGTTCATATTGATTAGCTTTCTATAGACAAATATCTAAATAGAAAGAAAACAACGAAGTGATAAACAAATAACATCGGGATACCAATTCAAGCAAATGATTATCTTGGACAATCTATTACTCTAGTAAGAAAGAGAAAAGATAGTTACGGGGTATGACTTGTCTTCTTTCTTTCTCTTATCTATCTTTCTTCTTCTTCTTTTTCTTTGCGCTCTCTCTTCCCAACTCTCTTCTCCTCATTATCTCTCGTTTGTATACAACAAAAAAGAAACTCTCCTGTCGTTATATTCAAATCCTTGTCGGGTGCTCTCTCAAGCAGCAGCAGCAGCAGCAGCAAAGAAAAAGTCTGTGATAATAACAACGTTGTGGTTACACCGTAGTGATTTCCGGCGCTTGAAGCGGATGATCGAACATACCACATATTCATTCTCTCTCTCTTGTCTCAACTAGATTGACGGTTGTACTCGCAAATGTAGAGTGGAAGCTGATGATGGAATAATTGATTCCAGCTGTATGTGAAAAAAAGAGGAGAAGAAAAAGCATTAGTTTTTTTTGTCTCATGAAGCAAACAATATTCGATCGATACAACTAAATAGGAGGAGAAGGAGGAGAAAAGCCGAGAACATGAGATTTTGTGGATACTATTTTTCTTCTCTTTGTCTCTATCATGATGTCGACAACATGTTATTTGATGAGATACACAATAAGAGAGTTCTCCAAATAATGATACTTAATAGGTTCCGCTTTTCTGTTTTGTTTCTCGCTCGCTCTCTATGCCTCATTCGTTGACTTGACAAGAAAGAAAATCATTTGTCATCATCATAATTGTTTCGAACATCAACCGATCCAAAGTCTAATGGTAGGAGTCTCTTATGTATTACCTGCGAGACAAAATCAAATGGACGTCTTATCATTATTTGCTCTCTTGCTTTCACATTAAGAAATCCCTTTGGACAAGCGTTTGGTTCCGGTCTCTCGACTTGATTATCAAAATATTATCCTATGGATGAGAATATGTGTGTGTGTGTGTGTGTGTGTAGCTACACATCAGTGTGGTTGTTATCGATAAAAGCGGAAAGCGGATTTTTCCCCGCGAGCAAAAGAATTGAAATGATTTTGAATCGCCAGACTACACAGACAATCCGAGTTTCTGTATGATGGTACGCATCGATTGTGGTTTTTCTCCATCTTCATATCTGCGACAACAATGTTGACGAACGGAAAAGAACGATTAACGGCTATTGAGAAAGGATACAGTAGACAACAACAACGACGACGACGACGGCGAGGAAAATGATGATGAGAAAAAGAAGATCAAGGTCTTCAAAGAGTAGTTGTTGATTAGGCATGCGAATTTTATAGAAATTCAGGCGAAACAATCAAATCGATCTTTACCTTTTCACTGTTCAGCATTACCGGTGAGAGTTATCTGCCGATTTCATCGTAAATATCGGTTTGTAAGATGATGCTGATGATAATAATAATATTACTGCTGTTCTCGAATTACGCTTGTATAGTTATCTGACGATGATCTAAAGTGACAATAATGGCGAACTTAAAAATGAGAATTAGATCAAAAGAAACAGAAATGACTGAAACTTGATCCTGATTGAACAGACTGTTTTATCATATTAAGACAAACAAATCAATGAATTTCTGACAAATAATAAGTCAAATTCAAAATGATTGTTGCCGTATGTAATAGTAGACCGATGGAACAAGTCAATGCTCTTCGCCGGGCTAATAAGATCATTGAGAATCTGAAAAAATCTTTCTCAATTCAGTGAATTTTTTCATGATGTAACAATCTATCTCTTCTCTTCTCTCTGTTTCCCTTGTGTGCATTCTTCTATAATAATAAAGTACAGGATTAATGGACAATGATAATAGAAAAGTAGTAAGTTAGATTTCAAGCCTATGTTGTTCAACCTAATAATTTAACTATCAGAAATATTTTTCCGCTGAACATGGCGAAAGGTCACACGAGTAGTGGAAAGTAGAAAAAGAGAAAGACGAGAAATAAGATCGACGTTGATCTTCTCGGTTGTTTCGATGAACATGAATAACAACTAAAAAATCCAACATTTTCTCTTTTTTTCACTCATTCAAGTGGTTTATCTATAAATTGCTGATGCACGCACAAAAAAAACACAGATCGATTTATATATATGTTTTTAAAGGCTGTTATGATTGCTACAGACGCAGACACACTCTCTCATCTTCCTGTAGTTGAATGCACCCTGAACGAGAGATAGAAATTGTTGTTCTAGTAGACGAAAAAGAAAAGTAATCCTATTCTTTCTTTCCATAAAGATTCCTCGTTTTTTCCTCTTCTTTCTCGATCTCTAGGAAAAAAGTAAAACAGGAAGAGAGCGTTCCGTTGTCATCTCTCTACATGTCATTTGAATTAGATACTTGCAGTTTGCGTGATGTCATTGTGATTGTATATGTGAGAAAAACCTTTGCTATGCATAGCATCATCGAAGCAAGTGCTCGATCATCGCACCAACAAGAAAGAGGGAGGAAGACACGCACATTGGTGCTCGAACAGATCCGCCTCTTGTTAAGGAACGAGGGAGAGATAGAGAGAAGAGAAAGAAGAACGGCAACAGATAACAACTGTGTGAGCGTTTCATGTTGATTGTATTATTCGCACCATCAACATCATTGAATCATGGCGGCTCTCCAAGAACAGTAGCAAGAATTTCACATTATTAAATGACGACAATCATCTACAATACATTGTATACAACGAAATCCATCGAGATTTGTTGCTGTCATGCGTGTATATGTTTTTTTATAGATAGAGAGAGAGAGAGAGAGAGAGAGAGAGGGGAGAAGGAAAACCGCAACAAACAACCATCATCGTTGTCGAGTAACTAAGGAAAAAAAAGGACGAAGAAAACTTATTGAACAGAGTAGAGAAAAGAATCTGGTTTATCTGATTATCCATATATACAGGCAAGTACTGAGATTGAAGTTCTATCTCGGAAACATGATCAAACCTAGCAACGAAATGGTGACAAGGAAGAAAAAACGATATGATCAAATACAGCGAAGCGTGAGAAGTTCAAGAGCATCAACTATATGCCATAAGAGGTTATTTTTTTCTTAGATGACTAGAGGAAAAAATGAAATTTCGATGATGACAGTAAGAACACTATTTACTAAAACGACAGTTGAAGAGAAATCAAACTGTCGTGCTCTAAACGATTGATGTATGACATTTTCTAATAAATCCAAACAATAGTGATAAAAGAAAGCAATGGAATAGTACTCAAGATTCCCAGATGGACAACTATGATTATCAAGACAAACGGACGATAAATGTCGAGTTATTTTGACTCAGCATGTTTATACGATATCATCTCTCGGTTCGACTTATCAAATCCAGATGTCGCTACACTTGAAAAGATTTTCTCCAACCTCTCTCATCAACGGGACGAGTTATCTCGCAAATGAAGCACAATATTTAATTGCGACGCTAGCAAATCCAGCGAGGGAAAGAAATTGTATGTGTATGCATGTCATTTTGCGTGACATAGATAAACAAATATTGTTACTATTATATTATCTAATTTAGTTCTAGTGTATAGTAACTTAATCAATATATTGAATCGTTGTCGACGACGAGAACACGAACACTAAATAATCTATCATAGGTACATCATTCCTTGGACGAAACTCATTCGTGACATGTTTTTCTAAGGACTGGATGAAGAGAACCCTTAGTTCGCATAGGAAAAATACAAGCCTATTCTACAAACCTTAGTTACAATATCAAGGAAAAGTAGTTGTTCATCGTCGATTAAAATTAATAGAGAGAGAAAGAGAGAAAATGTGAATAGAAGAAAATCAAATATTTGCTGGGAACAAATATGAACGCAGATGGAGAGAGAGAGCGAGAGCGAGAAAAGAGGATCTTTTTTTTCTACTAATTTATCATGCGCATTTACTAGAACGTAGAAAGCATTGATGCCGGTAAGCAAATTGCCATCAAGCGAACATCATTGATCCGCGCCTTATGCAAACGTTTGATAGGGCAAAAAAAAAATTGACAGCTAAAGCATACGGTAGGCTAGAAATGACGTGCGATTTACTGTCTTTATCGCTTCACTACCAAGATGACAGATAATAACGCTTTCTCATACATGCATACATACATCGATTTCATTTACTGGAGGAGTCAACTAGATTTCTTTCTCTTTCTCTTTTTCAATTCGATTTGATTTTAAGTGATATATAATCGATTGGTATAAAGAAAGAAAGAATTTCCCTTTTGAATAATTTCCCTCTTTTTCTCATACTTCTTCGTCATCCTATTGCTGGTGATTAGATCTCAATGACAGGAAATGACGAGTTCCGCCTTTGCTTGTGCGTCTCTACTTTCTTGTTAGACACTCACAATCATGCATGCATGCATGCTAGGCAAAAGTCGATTATGAATCACAAATAGGCTCAAGTGATCATCACGATAAGAGAGAGGGAGGGAGAGAGAGAGGGGAAGAAATGAGCATGCGAGTTAGCAGAGAACCAACCTGACTGAATAAACGGCAAAAATAGAAGATTTGTCTCCTAAACCTAGCACACACACGGTAATAGGCGTCAATGCAACAATCAGTGTAGAGATTTTTGATTGGCAATACAATGAAAGAAGGCTGTAAGTGTGAGAAAGAGCGGAAAAGGCGGCAAAGAAAGCAACAGATAACAAAAGGGGAATGAGAAGGAGGAGATCGTCAGTGGAAAGATCATGATGATCAGAAATCATCTTCTTCGTTTCTTCTTGCCAAAGTTCATCGCTATACTAACCGTACACAATCATTCACTGTACTACATGACGCTCATAGGGGAAAAGAAACGGAATGGCAGATAGGGAGATGACAAGGTGTTTTCTTTCAGTCTTTACATGTGTACATTCTTGCATTACCGTTTGTTCTGAGGATATACATATCAAGCACAACAAACACTAATCCAGTCTATGTATATGTATATATAAACATAGAAAAGAAAACTATACTATGACGTGTGAATGGCAGCATCAACATTTCTCTTTACTCTCGATTTCTTTCATCATATAAAACAATCCAGAGATTCGACTTGTATGAGCAAGAAATCACTAGAACATCGTTTCATTAACGTGATTTTCTTGCCAGCTAGGCGCATATTGAAACATTTATCATGTGGATACATTACTTACTTAATATGCACACAAAGAAGCAAGGGAAAGTGTTCGAGTGAGAGAAAATAAAAGAGTTATTGTCTCCCTCTCGTATTTTTATCATTGTCCCGGTATCTACTTAAAGCGAGCAGCGATCCTTCTTCTTCCTGCTTCTTCTCTTCAAAATGCATTCTCATAACTATTGCTTTGGGCTAATATTTTGTGTCTAACGTGTCAGTATATAGCGCAACTAATCGAAAGGCATTAGTAAAAGACGAGAGAAGGAGAAAGAAGAAGAAGTGTCGTCATTGTGGAGAATAGAGCAGAACAAAATCGAAACGAATCGATTAGACAATCTAAGAAAAAGAAGAAGAGAATCTTTTTTGCTTAACGCGCTCTTGTATGTAAATAGAAATCAATAGAAATGATTGTTTCCAAAAAGAAGGCGAGAGAGAGATAGAGATAAGCAAGCAACATATTATAAAAAGCGAGAGAACCAGGACTTAATATACATTCTGTATATTGTCTGCATATTTGATTGGATTGAATTGCTGTTCAAATCGTTCTTATTCTTTCTAATAGTTTATTTAAACGATCGATACATGAAAGTAATTGATGATAATAATACAATGTTCAAACACACTATAATTGGTAATTCAATGCTGAAAACTAAACGAGAGACGAAACAATCATTCTTGACCATCGGCGTTATTCAGGTTCATTGTCATTATTCGTCGTATTGCGCGTTTGCGGATAGATAAACTCTCCCATACATAAATTGAATGATTCACCATTGAGAAATCTGGCAAAAGAAAAGAAAAACATCGATTGTTTCTCAAGACAACACCAACTAATTGAATTTCATACGCCTCATCTTGATTGACAATTGGCATGTTAGTGGATTGCCGTGTAAGACGAGATTTAATTCGATCTTCCTTCAATCGTGGCATGACACTACAACTGGGCGACCATGAAATATAGTTAATACTCTTATAATAGTCCAGAAATGTTCGAGCTAAATTTCTTCCTAATTGTTGATCTGGAAAAAGAACAAAAAAGAGAACAAGAGAATGAGATTAAATCTCATTTTGTATTGTTAGACATCTTCTTTGTAAAGAAGAACTATTGAACGTAAATTCAATTAACTATTGAAAACTTTCTTTTTCCTCTTTTGAAAAAGCAATAAAGCGTATATAATATAATATCTTTCTCTTTTGCCAGCTTTTATGAGTTCTTTTCAAGTATCAATAAAGAAAATATTTTTCTTACATAATTCTTCCGTATAAGGTATCGCTTGTGAGTTGGCTGAGGTTTGATAGGAGAAAAACGAGACTTCCAATGTGTAGCAATGTGTACTTTCTTGAAGACAACCACCAAGTGTTCTAAACCGTATAAGACGAATGTTTTTTAGAGAAGATTTGCTAAAGATGTTCGCTTACCGTCGACCAGTTCCAGCTTTGAATGCATCGCGATTAAATGTCGTGTTATTGATCGAGAAATCTTCGGCATTTCGAGAGAATAAACGAGGAAAGATACCGTGCTTTTCAAAGCGCGTTGTATCTTCATAAACATTTCCATACATAAAGCCATTCATCATTGTCGAATGAGCGTGAATGTCAATGAAAAAATCCAATTCAAAATCCTGTGGAGAGAAAACTAGGTCGGAAAACATCAAAGCAATAGAAGATCGCTTACGGCATCTTCGTTTAAGTTCATTATATGCGTTTTAATCCCATAAATCTCTGGGTGTGCCCAATGTGAGGGATCGTTCCAAACACGATTAAGATCAAAGCCAAGTAATGAGCATCTAGGATATGAATAGCGATAGATTTTTCAAAGTATACGAAAATCAATCGGAACTTCAATCTATTCGGCGCATTAACTGTCAATAACTTTTCTCACACGAAAGTAATGCATGAATTCACTTGTGAATTGTTGCATGTAAATATTTAAGAACAGACTAACCTCTGATTTCCAAGAAAAACACCATCGGGGTTCAGCATGGGTACAATGTAAAAGACAATATTGTCTCGTAAGAGTCGGGCAATCGGATGGTCACTGATGATAAAATCAATGAAACCTTGACAAACGTAGGATGATGGTGTTTCACCTGGATGTACACGAGCCGTCAGAATGACAACTTTCTTTCGTTTGCCTTTTACTAGCAACGCCGGATTGGCTACTGTCAGAAGATCGAGCCGGCGCTTTTGCTACGAACAATAAAAGAAGCCAGAAGAAATGCAAATTCTCTTGTTTCGTCATGGAGGAACATCTTACCACGCTGTAAACCAATGGTCGACGTTGAACATAATCTAATTGACGTTGTTCAATGTTTTCGAGATAATTTTGCAGTTTCGTGTATGTATATGGAAATGAATAAGCGAATTGATAAACATCGTCTTCACGATCAAAACAGAACGTAAACGACATCACGTAGTTCTTCCGATGATCAGGACAGCGATAGTAGAAGACATTACGTGTGGGTAAGCGTTGCCTAAACATCATCAGATGACGAATGATGTTCATCTAGACATGACCTACCATCGTTTACGACTTGTCGACTTCACTATCGGCGTCATTCCATCACGATACAATGATTTGGCTTTTGAGAAGTTAACAATATGAAAAATAACTCTCTAGAAAAGATGAACGAATGATTGAAACGTATGAGTTTATCAAAAGCATACTTGGTCCGCTTTGACGTTTTCGACGGTGAATAAAAACCAACATCGGAATCGTGGACAGCAGGTGTCAGGTCGAATGAATAGGTCGTATTCATTGTCATTTACATAATCAACTCGACCGAGATTACCTTTTGAGAGGAGAAAGACATTCATGATCGATCATTCAGTGATGAACATACCACACTCAAATGAAGCATCGAAAATGAGATGTCCTTTCTTCGGTTTTCCTTCGTAATTTGGTGGAATGATCGCAATACGTTGAACGTTTCCAATTAGATGATCATTATTCGCATCGGATTCGCTATCTAGATGTGACCAGAATGTTTTAGCTTGAATTCAAGCACGTTTGCTTACCAGAATTGTTGTTATCACGTTTTTGTGTGGGCGATGAGCTTGCCTTCCCATTATTCTCCACTGACATATTTATCTTCAACGAAAATAAAATTTTCAAGACGACTTATTTTTAACTTCTTTCAATCACATGCCAAAAAAAACATTGTTTTTCTGTATTCTAACGCAATTCGTATGTGTAAGAAGCCATTGAATGCTCTTCTACGCTGTTGTTGCTAAGCAACTCTCACGAGTCACCTTCCACCATCTATCTCATCGTCGTATTTCGATGAAAAAAGAATCTCTATTTTTAACTCGGCATCACAAAATCAATAAAAAAGTACGAATTTCTTGCACCTGTTCGATTCGGTATTGATCAAGTCACTTCCTTGTCGTTGGATCGTCTAGTCGGTCAGGCAGGTGTGATTATAGAAATTCGAAAAACGATGACGGAGCAAACCACGAAAAAGCTGTTCGAGCGTTTATCGAAAACGATCGTTCCAACCCATTATGATCTGACCATTCAACCGTTTCTCGAAACATTCAAATTTGATGGGAATGTCACCATTGATATACAAGTTTGTTTATTTTTTGTATCCAGAGAGGATCAACGGATTTGTTTCAGGTGAATCAGCCGACTGATACTGTGATATTGTATGCTGCTGAATTACAAATTCATCAAGCAACACTTGTATCGAAGTCGAAGGGTGAGTTCGAAGTTTTCGTTAGAATTGATCAGCTATTTCTGGCTTTTTAGATGAATTGAAAGGTAAAGTTGAACTCGACGAAGAAAATGAACGGTTAAAAGTCACTTTTGACAAACAACTCGAAGTAATCTCATCGGATTCATTCGAGATATTTACTAAAGTTTATTTTTTTTGTAACAGAAAGGTGATTATCAATTATCATTGAAATTCTCCGGTGAAATTACCGATAAGATGGTTGGCTTTTACCGAAACAAATACACAACGCCTGATGGTAAAGAAGTTCGTTACGGTGCAAGTACACAATTTGAAGTAATCGATTTTCACGAGATGATCGTTGATGTTTATCATTGTAGAGTATTTTAGCCATCGGATTGTCGACGAGCATTTCCATGTTGGGACGAACCGAATTTCAAAGCGACATTTGATGTCACGTTGATTACACCAAAACATCTACGTGCAATTTCGAATATGGTTAGTAATTAAATGGCTGATTTTGAGAGAATTCGTTTTTTTCTTTAGCCGATCATATCCGAACAAGAATTTGCTGAAAATAAGGATTGGAAAGTAACTAAATTTGATCGTACACCAATCATGAGCACATATCTCGTTGCCTATGTTGTTGGTGAATATGATTATGTTGAAACAAAAGATTCCAATGGTGTTAGTATGCGTGTGTATACTCCAGTTGGTAAAAAAGAGCACGGTAAATTCGCATTGGATATTGCATCGAAAGTACTACCTTTCTACGCGGAATATTTCAATATCAAGTATCCAATAGCGAAAGCTGATCAAATTGCCATACCAGATTTTGCTATGGGGTAAGATAACAATCTTTTTCTTGCCGAATATAAATCTATTTGAGTTTTTAGAGCCATGGAAAACTGGGGTGTAAGTTAGTATTGTGTATTTCTTGTCGTATACGGCAATCTGATTTAGTTGGTGACATATCGCGACACAGCACTTTTGATTGATCCGAATTTATCATCGATCAATTCTCGACAATATGTTGCTATTGTTGTAGCACATGAACTTGCACATCAATGGTTCGGAAATCTGGTTGTATGTCATCTGTTTTTTCGAAATTGAATAAAGTTTTCCACCGTTTCTCTTTTCTTCTATTAGACCATGGACTGGTGGACTGATTTATGTAAGAAAATGAATGAGAGATTGATACGGATGCATCATGTTCTTTCAACTTTAGGGCTCAACGAAGGCTTCGCGTCGTGGATCGAATACTTAGCAGTTGATAAATGTTATCCTGAATTCGATATTTGGACCCAATTTGTCGCAGATACATTTGCAAGCTTTCTTATTCCGGACGCCTTAAAATCTTCGCATCCAATTGAAGTGCCTATTGGTAAAATAACTCTATCTAAATCGATCGTTACTGATGTAATTCGATGTCTTTTAGGTCATCCGGCTGAAATATCGGAAATTTTTGATGAAATTTCGTACTCGAAAGGTTCTTCTGTCATTCGTATGCTACATGATTATATCGGTGACGACGCTTTTCGAAAAGGACTTCATAATTACCTAAAAGAATATAGTTACAAAAATACTACTACAGTTAATCTTTGGTCTCATCTAGCTAAAACATCGAATAAACCAGTCGATGAAGTGATGTCCTCATGGACATTGCAAATGGTAAGTGTAGACAATAACAAGTCGAAAAGTAATAACAACAACAACTTTGTTGTTTAGGGTTATCCATTAATCACCGTACACGAAGAACAACACTCGAATAAATCTCGTGTTTTGAAATTATCTCAGCAACGTTTCATTGCTGATGGCAGTGCTGACAATGAAAATCTGCAGTGGAAAATTCCGATAACTATTTTCACGAAATCCAATCCTAAAGCCGTTGCCAAGCAGATTCTTATGGATAAATCTGAAGTAACCGTTACTTTAGATAACGTTTCGGAAGATGACTGGGTTAAATTAAATTACAATTCTATTGGACTCTATCGTGTCAAATATGAATCGAAGGCGTTGGCGCGTCTTCAGGAGCCTATTGCTAATAAAACACTCAGCCCACAAGATCGACTCATCATTCAAAATGATGTAGCTGCTCTGTGCAACGCCGGTCACCAATCGTTTGTTGATTATCTCAAACTGTTATTGTCGTACAAGGAAGAAGATAACTTTACTGTGTGGAAAGCTATTGGTAAAAACGAGAATCTCACCTGAAGCGTTTGTGTAACTCTTTTAAAACTATTCTAGCATCGACAATTGGTGATTTATCATCGTTACTTGAATATACGGATTACTTTGATCAATTTAAAGCCTATCGTTTAAAACTTTTCTCATCCATACAACAAAAACTCGGTTGGGATGCGAAAGAAAATGAAAATCCATTGATTGCTATGTTACGCCCAATGGTATTGAGTTTAATGGGTAGATCAGGTGATCAAGCCATCATTGATGAAGCAATAAAACGCTTCAAAAAGCATCTAGCCGGCGAATTAATCGATCCGAATATTCGAGGAACTGTTTATGGCTTAGTTTCACGTTATGGCAATGATACAACTCAAACAGAACTTCGAAAACTATATGACGCCGCTGACATGACTGAAGAAAAAGTTCGTTTACTTCGCGCGATGGGTCAAACAGTTGATGGTGATATTATTGAAAAAGTGATACAATTCGGATTTGATGGAGTATGTTGGTTCAATCTGTTGATGAGATGTTGGCATTCATTTTTTCTCTAGGAACATGTTCGCATGCAAGATTCCTATATAGGTCTTGTTAGTTGTGCCAGTAGTCGAACTGGTCGTGATATTGTCTGGAAATATTTGCAAAAGAACTGGAAAGCACTCGTTGAACGCTTTGGTGAAATGAGCAATTTCCTTGTTACTTTCGTCGACGTAATTAAAACATCCATGAAATTCTTCTAGAAATATCAGTCTTTGATCTATGTTTAGAGTACATTATCGGATTTCGTTGATGAAAAACTAGCTGATGATATTCAAGCGTTCTTCGACGCAGCGAATACCGCGATTGTAACGCGAGCTGTGAAACAGGTCGCCGAAACAATTCGTATGCGTGCGGACGTTATGAAACGGGATTCGAAGGCAATAGCCGAATATTTAACTCAGCAGTAAATACAGCAACTCAAATACACGAAGAGGATTTCTCGCTAAATTGATAACATTTTTCGCTTCATTTTAACATGTTTAAGTTTAAACTCGAAAAATCAATAAAATCCAGAAAACTCTGCTTGCTAAACACGAGATGTCTCAATTTTGCAGCGGAAATTTCGATAAGAACAGTTAGAGTGGCATTTGTACAGCTTCAGCGACATCTCTCGATGAAATTCTTATTCTACCGTTTGTCAATAACCAATCCTATCGACTCCTTTCTTTACTCAATCTTGCCATGTTGTGTCTCAATACTATACTTCTCACAAATTTTAATTTTCTGATTTAAATTCAGCACGTGGGCTCAACAGCCTTGTTTTTTTATTGACATATTCACCAGTTTTGAAAAACTAGCATCTCATTTGCCGTTTTTTGGTCATGCAAAAGACTCATGTATAATTAATAACCTTTCATCTAAATGAATTCATCAAGTCATCGTTAGAACTCTTCACATCTGAATATTTTCTTTTCTAGATGTACAGCTTCGATGACATCATCTAGTGATAATGATGATAGTACATCAACAGATTCTGATGATGAATCAGTTTTCTATGATGCAAATAGTACTCTAACAACTCATGAGATACTCACGTAAATATGAATTTCATAGGCTATACTCGAAAGCCAATCTTTTCTTCTCTAAGTAGATCTTTTCAACAAGAACCTCGATGGCGAATTCCATCCAAACAAGATACATCGATACTGCCACCTGTAAGTCGATTTATCCCTAACAACGAGCTTATTTCTTTTCCTTAGGAACATTTCTCTGCCATATCATTAACTGAAAACCAATTACATGATATTCAACGACGTGATAAACTTCAACGGCTTCGAGGAGTCGATACTCGACACAATTCAAGCATTACTGTGAAGTCAACAACTGATTCGTCTTCGATTTTATCCTCATCGTCAGTTACAACAGAACAGGACGGCAATAATGAAGATGCATCATCATCATCATCGACAGTCGATCCTTTAGTCAATGACACTGATAATGAGCCTAACCGCATCAATAGCAAGGTTAGTAGTTCATAAACTTGTCTTAACTTGATAAAAAAATACCTTTATTATCTATGCTAACAATTTTCCCAAGGCGATCGTATATAAAAATATATTTCATGTCCGCACTTGCGTTGAATTGTAAATGAGTAAACATCTGTAATACACTAACGCAAAAGTTTTATGATTGAGAAAAGAGAATAGTCTTTTTTTTATTATTGTGACAGACGGCATAGGGTTATTATCTAATACATAAATGACAAAGTTTACTTCGTGAGTGACAGATTTTTTATTGTCTGCGACCTAGTGGTACGTAGCGACTTGATCATGATCGGAGTGTTTTTCAAGCGAACGCATCAGCAAGTACTGATAATATAGCATATGTTCTTTTCAAGGTTGATTAAAATCTATTGATGAATTCCGATTGGTTTGTTTTTCGGTGAAAGTATCGTTTGTGTTCGGAGTTAATTATGTTTATAGAATTCGACGTCTTCCATATCGAAAACAACAGCAATCAATTCTTCTGTCAAGTCTGGTGCAGCTAATTGGACATCTCATCCCATCAGAATTGCCGCTTCAGCTCGTGGTACAGGTGGATACTATTCAAGTAAAATACCTCTATCGACAACAAGCGAACCTAATCTAGTCGATCTAAATACTATCGATCGTATCACCAAATACGGAGAACTACTCCCTAATGGTCGAAAGTTAAATGATGAGGAGATTCTTCAACAACCGATAGTACGTAATCTTGACGATGGTCGATACATTCCGTTGAATGCTACGAATCCAATGGATCTTACTATTATGGAGCGTATTCGCGAAACTGAAAGTATGGTTGCGTTGCGTCATAACTCACTGATAAATTCTACGAGTAATTTAAGAAAAAAGTCGACTGTTAGTCTTCCAGAGAAAACTCATGATGACCTTTCGATATCATCCGAATCATCCAGTCAGACAGTGGCTCGATCAATTCTTGACCGTCAATCATCGGAGTCGTCTTTTAGGCGTACGACATCTTTTCGTAAACAGTTAACTAATCTAGTGGTGCGAAACATTTTACGCAAGAGACAGAGTAAACTCGCGAATCATGATGAGGACGAAGATGATACGGAACGCGCGTTGATTAATGATGGTTCAAACGGGGATTTGAAGTACAAAGCATCGCGCTATCTAAAAGAACAGACACAGTTTGATAAAACACAGCTACTTCAAACCATCGTTAATGCCCACGATGGGCCGATATGGTGTATGAGGTACGAATTGATCGAAACATCTACTTAAAATCTGAAAAGAAAACAAGTTTAGATTCTCTCCCGATGGTAATCTTCTCGCCACATGTGGACAAGATGCACTATTAAAAGTTTGGATATTGAAACTAGCGCAACCACACTTCAGTGAGTTTTCTCAATTAACATCGAATGCGTCTCAGCAGCAAAATGAAATCTTAACTAATCGTCTCCACGAGTTTCATCGAACGATCTCAACCGACACGGTGACATCTACAATAAATACGAAACTTGGTTTGAATGAATTACAAGCACCACTCTATACGAAACCATTTTGTGAATTTAGTGGACATCAAGCACCCGTTCTTGATGTTGCCTGGTCGAAATCTTTATTTCTTCTCTCGTCTTCAATGGATAAGACTGTTCGTCTATGGCATTTAAGTCGATCGGAATGTTTATGTTACTTTCGACATGTAGATTTTGTTTCGGCTATTGCATTTCACCCGCGTGACGATCGATTTTTCGTCTCGGCGAGTCTAGATGGGTAAGCATTTTGTAAATAGAGCTATTTTCTCAGAGAAAAAACATGTTTAAATCAATGGTTGTTATGATACTGGACGGAAAACCGTTAGACTATTAGTTTGGGTCTAACCGGAACTCTTTACCATAACAATCATTCAATCCTAGTACTTCGTGACAGCCCGACTCGTTTCCTTTCTTTCCATTCAAAACATTCTGTAACAGATTTCTACTAAGACGTATTCGATGTTTTCCGTATTGCAAATGACACACAAGAAATGCCATTATCATCGCGCATATATCAATTTCCGGTATTCCCACAGATGTTTGTTTCGGGTGTTTCCAAAAATATTGACTAAATTCTCCTAAAACGTCCAACAGCTTTACTTTAATTTTGTTTCTTTTCCTTCAGACATGTGCGTTTATGGAATATTCCTGATAAACGTGTTGTTTACTGGTCTTTAATTCCTGCCCAAGCTTCATCACAAATTCCCGCTGCTCATGCAAACTTAATTACAGCGGTTAACTTTTGTGACGATGGTCGTAAAGTAACAGTTGGTACGTTCGACGGACGGTTTTTAGTCTATACTGATTCTTTACAATATGATGTAAGTTGACTGGTGATTTCTTCTACATTGAACTACTTTTTGTTTTCATGTAGACGGTAATGAATATCGGGGATAAGGATGGTAGTCGAAGTCATCGATCAAGAAAAAAACGAAAGAAACCGTACAAGATCACTGGGATCGAATCAATGAGTTCTGATAATGCCAAGGTATGATAAGAAAGAGAGTTTATTGAAGAACAAGGCAAATTTCTCATAGGTATTGATTACTTCGAATGATTCCCGTATTCGTTTGTATAATATTCGCTCGAAAGAAATTGAACGTAAATATCGTGGTTATTCCAATCAATCCAGTCAAATACGAGCATCCTTCAGTCATGATGATCAATACATCATTAGGTAAGATAGAATCAGCATTCTTCGAAATCAAATGATGATTTATGCTCGACTAGTGGAAGTGAAGATAGTTGGTTTTATATCTGGAGAACGGAACCGGATACGAATGATAATAATACGTCCATCAATTCGAGATTAACACGAAGACAACGACGATATTTCCATCGTGCTTACGAACGTATTCGAGGTGAGACCAAAGGTTTCAGCAAGAAGTATGTTGATGACTTTTCTTTCCAGTTCATAATACAATGGTTACATCTGCTATTTTTGCACCGAATCCAACGGCCATCATGAATTATGTATATTCTCCCAATGAATCGTCGCCTTCTCTATTACGACCAACGACTGCAGTACAAAGTCCAGCTAATCTTTCGAATAATCGTGCTCGATTGAATTGTGTATATCGTTCGATGAATTCCACAGACGAATCGTCTGTAACGATTAACACCGGAGCTGTGTATGTGATGATCACAGCGGATTCGAAAGGTCAATTGAAGATGCTTGTTAATCGCTACCATCGTTGAACGTCATCGCTCACTATTTGTGTGATAATTTCACTATTGTCTTGTACAACTGATATAACATTCGAACAGTGATATGAAAATTGTTTTCTTCTTCGGAACAGTAATTATTTCTGACAAATATTATTGGTGAATACGTCTTTCAGACTATTGTTTTTATTCATGTGTGTGTTTATCTTTGATTGATTTCTCTTTGTTTTGTTTTCGATCTGTAGGAAAGCTAAACCTTTGAAGAGTTTCGAATGAGAGAAAGAAATGAAAGACTTTCTTCTTTTTTTTTTGTTTTTTCCTTTTAGATTGGATTTTTATCGCACGAATATGTGAATGACTTTATCGCGAAGATCTTTTTTGCCTACGATTAACCTTTTTGCGTCCTACAAATGCTGACCTTCTCAATCGATATAATCGCCGATGGGCAAGTGTGCCGAGAATGATACTTGATTGTAATGACAAATGCTTCTCCTCCTTTTTCTTTTCCTTCTTCTTCTTCTTCTTCTTCTTCTTATCGTCATCCATGTGCTTGATGTTTGATAGATTCGAGGAGAAAAAGAGTATTAGTTTGGCAACGCACAGGAGAAGAAAAATGACATATTGTTTGTATGTATGTATGCGTGTATTAAGCGAGCAGCATGCGAAGCTTTAGATTTATTTTTGCTCTGTCTATTGGTAGAACACAAACGCTAAAGTAGATCTCTAGTTTTCAATTTAGTATTACCCATCTAAGTGAAGACAACGAGAAGAGGATATCCGAGAATTCTTTGAGAAAGAAACTAGTAAAGAATGTTTTCTTTTTTCTAGCTCATGTCAACTGATGAGTTTTTCAAATGTTTCATCATAGTAATCACTCGCTCTAACTGGATTTTCTCGCGATGTTTCGACAACTTAGAACCTTTTTTCTTCCTCCTCTCTTCTTTACGTTCGAATAACTCTTCTTTTTTACACTACTTAGCCGTAACCTTATATTGTTAACAATGATAATAGATGGTCCCAGCTGACTGTTTTTTTTTTGCTCGCGAGTCACATATTCCATCTACGACCGAATCGATATTATTAATATAACTGATAATGGTTTGTTTTTTTCTTGTGTTGTTTTATCTACACATATGAATATCAATTAACAGAACTTTTTCTATCTGCAGGGCGAGAGTTTATCTGTCAGGAAAGGTAATGAAGATGAATAGGATAGAGAAAGAAGTTATTTTTCATTTTGTTCGTTTCAGTCATTTAGACGACATGTTGAGGTGGCAGTAGATTTGATTATTTTGTGTGGAGATGAATATGTTATTCTGACAAACTCGAGTTGGCAATAGAAAAGAAAAGCGATGATTGCAATACTGTGTTGTTATGTGTCAAAGGGGCATGAGATCTATGCGCGCGCACGCCATCATCAATAACGTCGATTCTCTTCATTTCTTTTTCTCTTCCTCTGTCGGTTTTTTTTGTTACTTGGTCGTTTTTCCGTCTACTGCATCCAATGAGGTAGAGTAATGAGAAGAAAAAGAGCTGTAACAACAGTAATATTGGTGGCGGTGCTAGATAAGTATCTATCATCATTCGTATCCGGTTCCGTTCTCCAGATATAAAACCAACTATCTTNTTTATTCGTCAAAATCTCTCTGTGCAACAATGGAATTTCGCAAGTAAGATTTCTCTTTGCAAAGCAAGTCATCATATGGTCTATGATGTTTTTAGCTTCAACGTTTCATCCTGTTGTTAATTGTCAGATTTTTGCTGGTAATGTGCGTAATGCTCAAACATTACGCAAAGAAAAATATCCTCGAGAATTCTTTCCTGAAGTAAACGTCACACGCGCGAAGATAGCGATTAATTTACTTGACGTTTTTTTTTCTTCTTCTAGGCGAAATGGTCGAGGAAAGGCTTCACTCAAACTCGTTGGCTAATCAATGGCTTGTAATTGAATTTCAGCGAAGAAAAAGAATCCTTTCTTGCATTGTCATTCTTTTTCTTTTCTAGCATATTCGACTTGCTTAATGTACACCTATTCCATGACGCATCTAATCTTTTAGCAGCTGAACATAGTCCATCGATATATAGTAAATGTCGTCGCAATGCTCTAGAATATACTTTACAAAAGTTCGAATGAGATTTTTGTTGTTCATCTTCACGAATCAATTTGTTTAGTTTGCCAGTCGGTTCAGATGGTAAACGTGTCCCCTATGTTATATTTGGTGATTTTAATTTCCGACTCGATGCCCATCGTTTAGTGGAGGTTTGTTTGATAAATGTTTGTGAAGATTTGACTAAGAAATTTTGTTTGAATATTAAATAGCACATTGCAGACAAACGAAACGATTTAATTGATAAAATCAAAGGCAAGAATAGCGATGAAATTGCCAAGATTATTATTCGAAATGAAGATAATAAGCCACGATTGACAATCGAGAAGAAAGAATTCAATCTACACGAAAATCACGATTCATTCTTCAATACAAATACAAAAGAGGTACAGAATTTGTCTCATTTAGGAGAAGCTCAGCAATTAGTGTCCTAACGAATGTTTCTGTCTTTCACGAAAGAAATCAGTAACGGTTAATTAGTAATGTTGATATTGAATAAACATATCCCGAGGCATCGAATTGCACAGCATGTGTTGTGACACATAACAACCTTGTTGATCTAGGCTATACGAGCAGATATTCTTTAATCACTGCTCGTGGAATACCCCAAGGATCGTTGAATAGAACGAACAGAGCTGATCATGATGTCGATCATTTCATTTTAGGCTCATAAGTTTGATTTTGAATCGTCGTTATTCAATGATTATTTGTATGAATATGAAAAGACTTTTCCACCGAGGTAAGTATTCATCTAATTTGAAGTATCTAAACGTGTAGATTCTTTTCTTGCATTTAGTTATCCATATAGTGAAGAACATCATGAAGCCCGGTCATATTTACGTGCTCGTTGTCCAGCATGGTGTGATCGTATACTTCTCAGTCATTCATTTAAGAACTTCGTTGATACAAAGGTGAATTTTGTTCTCTTTATGCAACACTTCTAAACATGAAATTGTGTCTCTTCAGGCGAAACTGCCATCCTATGATATCATTGGATATGATGCATGTGTGGGCGACCATAAGGTGAGTTTCAAAGATAGCTATTTGAAGATTTTTATTCGTTGTCTAATCTTCATATCTGATTATCTAGCCGGTTTATTTATCTCTAACTGTTGGTTTGGTACAAGGTTGGTTTTCATCCCCATTATTGTCATTTTTTTCTTGCGAATGGAAAACTGTGGGCTTATGCGTGCTATTGATGTTTGCATACAAAGCATTAGTTTAACCGTGAAATCATCTGTCACTGTTAGGAATAGAAAGATATGTGATCAGATCTTCTGAGTGATGCAACATTGAACGTTCGATTGTAAGTAGGATGTCTATATCATTTGCCTTTTCAACCTACTAATCAGCTCATAACTGCTCCTAACAGTGACAAATTGTTTTCGATATGTTGTTCTTGCATGACATGTGTTGGCATTGCTTCTCGTCTTGTAACGCTCGTTGCTTTCACACATTGTATGATTGGATGCCGAGGATGTCTCTCTCAATCTTTCTCTTGTTCTAGAAAATATGTCATGATACTGAATGTCCTATCTAGTCGCATTGCGAGGGTAAATACAAATCAATCCCTCTTATCGTCTACGACCCATCTAGATATACATTACTTGTCATTATCGTAGTTGCAGTCTCACCCATCACTTCTTCTCTAGTTTCATTTTTATGGGTGTATGCTTTCATATCATAAATCAATCGAGACACGAAATGCCGAGCATTGTTATCTTCTACTGTCTTTTTCTAGGTAATTATGATGATATTCGACGATGGAATGGTGCACCGATTTATTCAAATTTACTACCTGAAACATATTCGTCGGAGAAGACAAAGACTAGATCTGAAGAAATCGAATACAATTCAAAAAATCTCCCATCATCACCAGCAAGCGAGAAGAATGATGAACATCGAACAGTACATGCTCATCATTTATTCTATGCTGATATAAAACATACATTTATTCGATTTCTTCGCGAAACGCCGGTGTAATCTTTTCGTCGTTTTTTTTCTCTCTTTTAACTTTTCTCTCGTTTTCGTTTTGTGTTGTATATATGCGAATCTCTATATGTTTTTTTTTTCTTCTTTTTCCTAGTCTACAAATCCTCATCAGCAGTGAATTTTTCTATCATTTTATTTGTTGTTTGTTTGTCTCGTGTTGTTTCGTGCATATTCTACTTGCAGCAATATATTTACAGGCAACGTGTCGGTCTGTATTTTAGATGACATCCATGATGACTGATGAAGTCAATGTGAATCATGACGGACTGTCAAATTCATCGAAAGTTGTGAAATTTTCCAACTTATGTAATCTACTCGAAAGAATTTCGAAAAGCCAGGGTGCCATCGCCAAACAGAAACTCATGACTCGATTCATCAGCGATTGGCGGAAAACACATAAAGAAGTTCATGCGAACGATCCACCTGTGACAGCACCTGCTCCAGTAACAACAGCTGATGGGCAAACCACAACGGGTGGCCTTAGTGGAGCGTCACCAACGATTCTGCAAGATTCATTCTATCCAATTATACGCTTACTTCTACCACAATCCGACCGAGAACGTATTGCGTATGGTCTGAAAGAAAGCAAACTTGGCAAGCACTTAGTCGAAGTTCTCAGCATTTCCAAAGATAGTGACGATGGAAAGAAATTGTATGTAGAAATCATTTTCTAGATCATTGTCGACAGTTCTTTGACAATTTAGGTTGAATTTTCGTGTACAAAAGAACACACGTACTCAGAAGGGAAGCGACTTTGCTGAGGTTGCTTATTATGTTTTAAAAAATCGGTGTAACGATGATGTGACAATGAGCATCTGGGAAATCAATAAAATTTTGGATGAAATCGCTGTTGAGAACGGCAAAGGAAAAGAGGGCCAAAAAGTATGTAGGACATTTTGTTTTTTCCAGCGCACGTATTTCATTTGCTTCAGGTTATCGATCATCGTTTAACATATCTACTTCGTCATCTTAGTGCTTTGGAATTAAAATGGTTGATCCGTATTTTATTGAAAGATTTACGTATATCTCTGAAAGAAAACTCCATTCTTGAATGTTTTCATCCCGATGCGAAAGATCTGTTCGATCACACGAGCAATCTATTCAAAGTTGCCGTTTACTTACACGATCCGGAAAAACGTCTTCATGAAATCGGTTTGAGTATATTCTCACCGTTTCGACCTATGCTTGGTATGAAGAAACATGATTGATGTCCTATATGAAAATAAAGAATGACTTTATTTAGGTGAAAGAACGCGTGCTGATAAGATTGAACAATTGATTCGAAAGAAATCAACAAATCCAACCGCTGCTCTTGCAGAATTCTATATCGAAACGAAATATGATGGCGACCGTTTTCAATTGCACCGAGACAAAGATCAATTCATGTATTTTTCACGTAACGGCCACGACTATACAAGTGTGTTTGGTCCTGATTCGAATAATATCGGTACTTTGACACCGTATATCGCCAATACATTCAAAATCGATTGTGAAAAATGCATCATTGGTAAGTTGTCTTCGAGATAGTTTTCACATAAATTACATTTGACACATTTATAGATGGTGAAATGGTTATTTATAATCGAAATGAAAAAATCATACATTCCAAAGGTGATAGTTTTGATGTCAAATCGATCCAAGCCAATGATTCACAATTACAGCCTTGTTTTATCGTCTTCGATATTCTCATGTATAACGATGAAGTTCTGACAAATAAGCCGTTAAATGAACGTTTACAATACTTACACAAGAAGATTCTCGAGCCAATCGAAGGACGAATCATCTTTTCGACCATTAAGCCCGGTGCATGTAATCAAGATGTCATTAATGAACTAAATTTAGCTATTGAAGAGCGACAAGAAGGTATTGTAGTCAAAGATCCGTGGTCTGTCTACAAACCAAATGTTCGAGAAAATGGCGGTTGGTACAAGGTACGTTCCTAACTCATCAAATATTTAAAATCGCATAAGCATCTCTGTTTCTCTATAGATCAAACCAGATTATACTATTGGTAAGATCCAATAAAACTTCACTGTTTTGTATCTCATCTGGTTATTACAGGTCTTAATGATGAAATTGACTGTTTGATTGTCGGCGGTTATTTCGGTACTGGTCGTTTGCGTGCTGGTATGCTTTCTCACTTTCTTTGTTGTGCTGTTGTCAAACAAAGTAATACCGAAGCGAAAAATGCTGATGACGAAAATGCAGCAACATCGTCATCTCAATGCAAAGCTGATGTTCGCGATTTTCTCTATTATTCATTCTGTAAAATCGGTTCCGGTTATACACATAAAGAATTGCTCGACTTTAACAATCGTTTTGCTAATAAATGGAAGCCATGGTCGAAGAAAACTGCACCGTCATATATCTTATGTACATATGAAAAGCCCGATGTTTGGATTGAACCGAGTGATTCCTGTATCGTTCAAGTCAAGGCGACTGAATTCATGGCTTCAGATAAATACAAATGCGGTTTTACACTACGTTTTCCACGCTTGGAGAAATTTCGTGAAGATAAGGCTTGGCATGAGTGCGTGACGTACCAAGAGTTGATCGATTTACGAGAGAAAAATTCCGGCAAGTTAGCATCACGTTTTATGGAACATGAAGGAAATGAAGATTTCGATTTGAACGATGATGGTCAACGGACGATAACTATGACCAGAAAATTACAAACGAAATCTCGACAACAAGCTAAACCAACTGTTGATTCACGTTTCCGTGGTATTGATCAACAAGCGGTGAAACAAACAGGACATTTCCTATCGAATCTGCAGTTCTGTATTATGGAAGGCAATGCAAAACACACGAAAGCTGATTTGGAAAAACTCATCTATGAAAACGGTGGAACTTGCGTACAAAATGCCATTCCTAAAACACATTGTGTTATAACAGGTATACAAACTAAACATCCACGCAAAATTCCGTCTTACTTCGATGTTCTTCATTTAGATAATCCGTCCAGTATTCGTCTTCGCACACTGATCAAAAACAAACTATACGACATTGTTCATATTGCTTGGTTAACACGTTGTATCGAACACAAAGAACTACTTCCATATAGTTTATCTGATTTAATTTCCTGTACTGATAAAACTCGTGAAGCTTTGAAGTTGCTCTATGATGAGTATGGTGATGCTTATTATGCACCGACCAATGAGGAAGAACTCCGAGAAATATTCAACAAGATGTCATCGATTCCTTCGCCGCCGGCCTCTGCACCGTCGATACCAAGCAAAAAGTTACCAGCAAATAAAAAGCGTCGTCTCAATGAGCTCGTTCCGTTGTCTCAAACGACAATTAACATCGAAAAGATACCAAATCCGTTAGATGATAGAGATCAACTCCGCACATTTATCTCTGAATTCGAAAACGGCTATTTTCCTGATGAATCATCGGAATATGGACTTTTCCGTTTATTCTATATCTACTTCGATCAATATTGGACGATTGGTGATGAAACAACTCAATTTATCGACTCCAATCATAAACTGATCATCTTACAAAGTCAATTGCATGGCGCACGTATCGCCCATTCCGTGACATCGGATGTTACTCATGTCGTTTGTATCAAACCAGCTAAAGACGACAAGAAATTAAATGATCGGTTAACTCTTTTCAAACAAATTAATCGTGATCGTTCGACTAAATTTCATCTGATTAGTTACGACTGGATCAAAGCTTGTATCGAAAACCGACGTGCTATGAAAGAGCTACCGTTTGCTCTTTAGAAATGTTTTGCTTTTTCTCTGTTACTTGTATACATTTTTCTGTAATGACAATGTTGTTTTTCACTGTGAATTTGATTAATTGAATAATAAGCAAGAACAAAACATTTTCTTTATTAGAATCTTACCACTAATGGCATAATCTTTAGTTAGAATTGAGATAGATAATTATGTCTACGTCTGAACTGACTACATTTGATTAAGTCAAAGGTGAGCTTATGCTTTGCAAAAGTACGTGAAGGTATTTTTACACAATGGATAGAATTAACGAATAATACACGAAAAAGAAAAGAAGAAAAAGTGAAATCACAAGTTTGAAAAGACAATTGATGAGTTTGACGAATAGTTTTAGTATGGATCATCAGATAATCCAACGAGTTTACGACGAATGACTAGAGAAAAAAAATAGAGTAGATTTTATCATTTATAAAAAAAAAAGATAAAAGGTAAAATCGATGCTTACATCCTCGTTGATTGGTTTGTTTATTATTTAGACTGTGTAATGCACGTTTTTCATGTTCTTGTGACTCTTCGGATTCGAGTGATTGATCATTTAACAAGCCACGTCGTTCAGCTTCGAGTAAGAAGTTTACCAGTCGTTCCCGGAACAAATCATTTGAAGTCTAAACCGATCAAATTCATTGATAATATCAAATTTTACCTTGATCACTTACGTGCTGGCTTGATTTCGCATCCAGCACGGAGATTAAGCATACGACCAATACTATGGCCAAAATAATTTTTGTCGTTTGCATCTAAATTGGATAAAGGCCAAAGTTAACTAGTACAATACACATTCACGAACTTACCGATACTGGTAGACTGTGCTTCACAATTATGTGAGAAAAATATATATGTTGTTAATACAAACGAAAATAATTTTATTTTTCGATATCCTTATAATAATCAGTGATGCATATCCGGCGGATTAATACCTTCTTTTTCTACTTACTGTATTATTCTGCCTACACTTATCACCATTCAGGTAGGCTGTAACACATCTTACCCATAGCGTCATCACCATCCATAAAATCATCGCTAATTCAAATTTTTGTTTTCTTATTTGTAATTTCTTCATTCTATTGTAATGCATAGTAGCAATGACGCATCTAATCTTGTTTTGTTGTTAACATGGTCGCTGACGATCATTATCTTTGCATTTCTTTAACGAATGAAACGAACATAATGCTAACTTCACTTAACACCAACGTTCATTGCAGTGAAACAGCATGACTTTGACATCAGTGATGCACTGTATTTAGAAAGATGACATATTGCGATTGATCAGAGAGCGAATTGACACTATTTTAATAGTTTATTTGAAGGACACCGTGTTTGAAGTTGATTCAATTATATGAGACGTAACAGGCATTCTCACATGAAGTACAGACGATAAAAATTCTACTAAATAAACTTCTCAGTGGCAAGATGTTCAAGTCTACAATAAAAAATTTATTGGATAAATAACTAACCACCTTGCATTGATGATGAATGAGCACTCATATCAAACAGAACGAATTCACGCGCCGTATACTTGCAGACGTCAGGTTGATGGTAGCACCTTGCAAAACAAAGCCCATTACCCTTCAAGATCACCGAATAATGTGCGTAGGAGTGAGGAAACTCTACTTCATGCTTTGTTCTCTCGTTTTATTGAGAAACGATAACTAATTGATTACGGAAATCGAAATGATACGAACTGGTCGAACTCTATGAACCCATTTTGACCCAAAGCTTCATTTAGATAATGAAAACAAGAAAAAAATAGTTACTGTTCAATCGTTCATCATCCACATAGACTGTCGAAAGTGTCGTAGTCTTATACATCAATGAACAGTAAAACAAATGCTTCCGCCTTAAAGAAGCCGAACTGTTTTCTAAAATCTATTAATACATTCTCGTTTAACCGCATTGAATAATTCATGAATTTTAAATGGAAACATTTCTCAGGTTAACTTCTGTCTCAATTACACATGAAATGAACTTTGCAGGGTGTGCTTTCTCTAAAAAAGCTATGTTCTCGGTTTTCGTGAAAACAAATAAAATCATCTCCATATTTCATGCGTTATCTACATAAGCGTACTTTTCCTCCCAAAGATTCTCCGAACATCATGCCTTCGAATCCTTTGTATAAGTAAACCGGAATCCATATATAAGATAAAAGTATTATTTGTTAATGATACATTCAACCTGTCCTATGTTTTGCATCCGCCTTCTGTTTTATCATTTCCCATGTCTCACGTAAAAAAATACATACAGACAAGTAGTTATTCATTGATGTAAATATTAGTTTTTTTTGTCGAAATTCATGTTTGCCGATGACAAGAACGACGGCTTCAAACTGGAAATGTTTGTGAACGAGAAAGTGATGTATTGAAGCAAATGATTCATTGTTTTGCTTGAAAGATATGAAAACGGCGACAGAAAACAAAAGATTCGATTTCGTATCAGGAAAAGTGCACGCATTCATTTTTATATCGGTAAAAGAAGGTGAAACAGCTCCAAGGTATTCGAATCAAACAAACAAAAAACGACAGAAAATATTGAAAAAAAATGAATGAGTAATATTCGCGTCATTGATGATAGAACCGGTTTAAAATGGATTGTCGCTGATGCCAACTAATTTTCGACGAACGACTGAAAGGAAAACGGAGAAATTATCCGACAGTCAAAGTTCAAGAAAACGAATGCTTACATGTTCGTCCTCGATTTTCTTCATTACTTTCTTGCCGAAACCGATTGGTTTTGAATTTGGGTGAGTCGTCCTTCAATTGTTTGTACTTATTCAATAAATATTCACGCCATTTCATTTCTATTAACGAATCCAAAAGGTGATCTTCGGATAAGTATGCTGAAAACTAGAAAACATGATGTTACATTCTTGTATCGTGTTTTCTTTTCTTCGACGTACTGTTTTACGATCATTGGCATCGATGGTGATTACGAGAATAGATACGATAACGATGACTGAGAAGATAATAACGGTTTTCATTGTGCTGTTCTTTCGTTTAATCAAATTGATATCTGAAAGAATGAAACAACAACAAAAAAAACATTAAGTGAAAATTGCAATTCTTATTGTTTTTGTTGCTTATAGGTAAAGCTCTTTGTATTAGGAAGAAAGAAAAAAAGAACTATACAGTTCGGTGTGTCGCAGTGGAAGAGTTGTACTTTCTTCTGTACTCAAAATCGCTAAATTGCACAACTGTAAATCGATCCAACAATTTGAAAAGGAGAATTTACCATCCATCTTTTCATCTAGAGCGATGATGGAATAATCTCATGCAAGGGATTTATAGAAATACGACAATGGAAATGTCAACGAAAGCTGATTAAACATGAAAATAATGCATCAATCAATCCCCCGTATTTGACCACGTCTCGCAGCCTTAGAGAATTTGTTGTGGGGACGAACCTGGGCAAAGTTCAGAAGACTTTAAGAAGAAAGAAACAGGGAGAGATCCTTCGAAATATTCAGGTATTTCCACTCGAATTCGATGATTTTAAGCCTCTGAAGATCATATCAGTGGGATTGACTAAAAGTGAATCATATTTATCGTGAAGTTCTATTATTACTTACCGAAGTGATATTCTATGCGGTAGTGTCAAGTTCGTTCCTTCGGTCTGGATATATATATAGAGGGAGAAATGAAGAGGAATAGAAAAAGATATACGTATATGAGTGGGTAGGTGTTTAAGAAGCATATGTAGGTGCTCAATTTGTTGTTGATCTAAGAAAATAGCGAGGAAAAACGGCGCAGTATGTTCTTATTTTTATGTATTTATCTTTCTACTAAATTGATACCATAAACATAAGTAGAGTAGAAGATTATATAGAAAAACCGAGGTGACGTCAGCTTTTTTCCACGCTCAAACCAAGGAGGCAGATAACCATTAAAATAATCAACTTATTCATAATAAATGACAAACCTACACTTCATATATCTGTTCATTAAAGAATTCTAATCGCAATAATGTTACAAAAAAAATGTTTTATTTTTATTTGAAGACTGACATGAATTGATAAAAATTCTGAATCTTTAACATCAATATCTCCATCGTTATGGTTAACCAATAAAGTTTATTTCTTGACTGTAAATGTTTTCTTTTCAGGATCGAAAGTTTACATTCATTTCTTATTTATATGTGCTCATACGACGTGTGTCATCGATGGAAAACTTCGATTTTCATCGTTTACGAATGAATGTCAATCAATACTTTCAAATGTTTCAGTTCATTTCCTGAACTGTTAATCAATTCTTATTTTGTTGGTGGAAATACGTTCTCCATTTGTTATTCTCTATTCACATTGTTCGAAAAATTTCCCCATTGATTTTAACCAATGATACACTTGCAAGTCCGTCATAATTGCCAGTTAGTATTGTGTGTTCCGAAGGAAACAGACGTTGCGAGCATTGTATAAACTAATATTTGACAGATTTTCTTATTCACTATGTGCAGGAAGTTTATATCAGTTAAAAGATTTATTTACGTGACAACCACCTACTGAATATTATGAATGACTAAAAGGCGATCTGACATCTCATCTCATTGTTACTGAGGAATTGAATTTGATTGCCACTGCAGTAAATATTGTATTCGATTTCGGTCGTCTTATGTGATCCTGACCGGTAACCGTTCAATCGATTGTCTGAGGACATCTATCGTTTTGTTCACATCCGTTCTGCTCATTGGTAGAGAAGGATTATACCGAGTGAAAGAAGAAGCATCTGTTGTAAATGTAAGCAAATAAATAAACTTTCCTTGGAATAGATTCACGTGAATTATAACATTATAGATGAAAGATACCAACAATTTTCGAGGTCGTCTATTCGATCATCAAGAAGAGTAATTCATTACTTCGATAGACTTTCGTACGTATGGCTCCTCGAACGAAAAAAGTCGTGCGTAAAACACGACGCGACCAAACGGAAATCAGTCGATGTATTAAGTATGGTCAAATGAATGTATTTAGAGGTTTTTGTTCTACACTTTTTTCCATTTAGATACTTAATGTTTGGCTTCAATATTCTCTTTTGGGTAAACGAACTTGAACCGACTCTTCTTTGGAAAAACGTCGTATTTATTTTGTTTTTCAGATCCTTGGTTTTATGATTGCTGCCATTGGCATCTATGCTTGGATTGAAAAGGACACATTCGACAACTTCGGTCGTTTAACAATGGGTGGAACGTTATTCTTCGATCCTGCCTTATTGTTCGTCCTTGTAGGAATATTCATGTTCTGTATTGGATTTACTGGCTGTGTTGGATCATTACGAGAAAATACATGTTTATTACTTTTCGTATGTCGACAGAACACATCTTTATTTCATAGAAAATATAACCGATTTCTAAATTGTAGTTCAGTTTTGCTTTGGCAGTTATCTTCTTTATCCAACTTGCGTTTGGTACATTAGTTTTCATTTATCGCGAAAAGGTTCGAGTTCTTTTTCATCTCCAAACTAACTTCAAAGTGCTTTGTAACTGATTATAGGTTAAAAATGAAGGCGAAAAGCAATTGATGATCATGATTCAAAGTTATCGTGATGATCCTGATTTACAGAATATGATCGATTGGATCCAACGTGATTGGTTACATTGTTGTGGAGTGAACAATTATCGTAATTGGGAAAGTAATGTCTACTTTAATTGCTCATCGAAAATTGTTGGAAGTGTCGAAGCGTGTGGTGTGCCGGCGAGTTGCTGTCGCGTTGAATATTTTCATGTAAGAGATGACTGAAGAGAGACGAGTCCATTCGTAATTTGTCTATTTTCAGAATAACAAGCAATGCGGATATGGAACGTTGGAACCGTCCGCAGTAAGATTAAACTTGAAGTTGTCCGAAAAAGAAATATTTGATTTCAGGCTACACATATGATCTATACAGAAGGTTGTTTACCAAAAGCTTCACACTGGTTTGAACGACATATTCTCCCCGTCGCAATAGTTGTTGCTGTTCTTGCTGTTTTACAAGTAATAAACTTTCCGTTTCTACTTTTTCATCTTTGCAACTTTTGTTCTGTTAGATACTCGGCATTTGTTTCGCTCAAAACCTACGCAACGATATTCTCGCTCAAAAAGCAAAATGGTCGTGGCATACACATCCAATGATGAATTACTATCGACATCAGTGAACTAAGAAAATAGAATCTTCAATGTCAGATTAAATAAGATCTCTCTCTCTCGCTCGCTCTCAGGACATCTCACGATTGTAATTAGAAATGAATGTGTATGTCTTTCACTATTGTCAATGTATTCATGTAAATACACATATACATTCATAATAAATAACGATTTACTTTTCGGCGTTTCTTTTTTCGTGTTAGTCTTTAACGAAATGATTGTAATTCTTGTATGATTTTAGAAGAAAACAGACTACAATGGAACCAATTAAAAACGCTCTGTCACAAGCTGGTGATTTAGTGCAACAAGTTGCACATACAGTTGTTGATGCAATTCGTGGTACAGACAATGAAGAAGCATCGAAAGACAACGTAGGATGAGGAAATGAGGAAACTATGTCTAAATCTCTCTTTTAGGATGATAAACCGAAGACTGAGCAGAATATTGATAGTAAGCAAAAGAAATTTGATAAGGAACAAGATAGCTCCATCCAAAAAAGTGGAATCACAACGCCACCTGGTGGTTATCAAGATCCTGCACAACGAGTAATTGACTTACAGAAGGGTTTTTGAGAAAAAAAAAACAAATTGTTTACTTTTAGAGCGATGCAAAAGTCCTGGCAACATCATGGCCTGATCTAGTTGGTAAATCACGTCATGATGCCGAAGAATTCATTAAAGCTAGAGGTTAGAAGAAGAAAATTGCATGGAAAATCATACCGTTCGATTTTCAATCTAGGCTATTCGAATATCAAGGTTATGAAAAAAGGTACATCATCAACCACGGAACATGACGAGTCACGGGTGATTTTATTTGTTGATGATAACGATGTTATCGTTGAAGAGCCCAAAGTTGGTTAAAAAACAATGAACTGAAAAATACTTCGGTCTTTTTTTTATATTGTTATTCGAGCTTTAAAAGCACAATAAACTCTTTCGATTACTTCTTTCATTCTTAATATTTTCGTTCGTCTATATGAACACTGAAGTCGATAGCGATCAACAGACTTGTCTCGCGCACATACAGGTGCTCACAGAGAATTTCAGCTATTGAAGAGATCGATTCATTTTAATAGCATATCTTCCGATAAGTTGTACTTCATGGTTTGAATAAATATATTTTGCTTCACTAAGCTATCACTGAACATTTCACAAACTACGATCAAAGCAAGTGCAGCGAATAGAAAACACACGTACGAAAGATATATCATTTTTCTCCTCGTATATCAAAGATTACAGATGCACATTAGCTCCGCGCTGTTTACAAAGGAATAAAAAGTTCCAAAGATTGTAAACGCTCCGGAACTTCTTGAGTAATATACATGCTTTTGTAAAGCTCATCGGCTCATGATCGTCGAAGGCGTTTCGCCGGCAGACTTGTCGCCGGTGAATCGGTGAAAAAGTCGAAAACTTCAGAATCATCGTGTTGCAGCTGTCCAGTAATTGTATTCGGCGCAACGTATCCGTCTGTTTGATCGTTCACAAATGCTCCTGAAAAAAAAACCGTTAATGATTAACAGTTGAAGGAAACATTCGCTCTACATACGATCTAAAATTCTCAAATACGTATAATCATCTTCGTAGATCACATCTTGCTCATATTCGATGGTAATACGAACAGTGGCACGCTCACAGAATGGATCCGGATATTTCGGCATGAGGAAAGTGAAGTTGTTTCCGTTCTTTTGCATCTTTTCGATGGGAATCGACGACTCATGACCGTTATCTTGAATTTTCAAAACGAGGTTTTGTTTGTAGTCTTTCGGGAGAGGGCCCTTGGTTTCTATGCACACCTTTTGATTGCCGCACATTGGGCCATACTTTTGAAAGACATCCAGGATTTTGAATTCACCGTATTCTAAACAAAAGATACATTTGTATTCATACCGAAGGATTATTCGTTGCTAATCTTACTCTCAGCCATTGTATCAGAATAAGCAGTAGTAGCTTCATCAGCTACGTAGGAGCCATTAGGAAGACGATGCATACATGTAAAAGAAAGTTTTGATAGGTTCAGTTGCTCCTTAGAAATTTTTTCTTTCGTGATTTCACCAACTTGTTTCCCTTTGATGAACTCGATATGGAGTCTAGAAAACAAACGATCAAACTTCATTAAACAATAGGCATGTACAGGAAACTCACGTTTTTTCGCCTTTTTCACAATCTTCTTTGGTCAAATGGAAGTAAAGGGTATGTGGCTCGTCTGTCTTGAATATAAAAGACGACGTTTTACGTTCTTTGTTCTCGAGTGTATAGACATGAGGTTGATGATCCACCTTGACAAGAGTCACTTTAATAATGTTTTGGCCGGGATGCCAATCCGATTGAAGCTACAATAGAAGAATAAACTATAGTACATTGATTAGACGATGGAAGTATTGATGTACTTTTATGGTAGGATGTTCGTGTTTACTCGTCTTGTCGCATCGTAAGAAGTGCGAGGAATCTCGACTTTCTCGTTCTGTACGAGGACGAAACTCAGTACGAGGAGGTGAGACAATTTCAATAGGTTTAGATCGTACAGAGTTCAAGTTTGATTCTGAAATGAATAAAAACTCATTTGGTAAAACAAAAATAATGAAAAATACGTCATATACTCAGCGGACTTTCAGACGGATAGCCAGACGATTGTTGAACATTGTTGGACTCTGAAAAACGAAAAGATACTTTTATAACCTGAGGAAGCACTATTTATTTCGAACATACGAGTTTGATCAGACACTGGATAGACTGTATCGGATTTTTGGTACGCTAGGTAAGGAAAAATGAAATTTACACTTCAGTCTTTTTCATAATAATATTTGACATACTGTTGTTGGGTGAAATTTCTATATCACCGAATACATCACCATCCAAAAAGTCGAAGGAATAGTCTTCTAATCTAATGTCTTCAATAGTGTCCCATGTGTTTGGGGATTGACTAGGATTCTAAAATAAACATGTGATAAGACAATTAAGATAGTTAAGATTCTTTTTGTAGAACTTACTGTTGACTTCTGTAGATCGAGTATGTCAATGGGATTCGCGAATAGAATCTTATCATTGATACCATTGCTTGGTGTGCGCGTCAAAGTAGCGAAAGTATTCATCTGTAAATAAAACAGCAAGTATAGTATGAGAAAAAGTTGACTCAACTATAAACCATGCAATGTATAAAAGCGAGACGTATGTCGATGCGTCGGTAAATGTGCGCGATATTTAAGTATATATAGACAATTGACTTACTATAAATATTTTGTTTTGGAAGTACGCGATGTGAAAAAACCTTTTTCTCTCATTCTCTTTTCGGAAAAATCCAAACATGGGTGTCTTACACAAGCGCATGTTGTGCTTTTACAGCGCAACTATGAATCATCATCTTGACTCATACAGTATTTTTCATTCGTCATAAACAAACAAACGAGTCGGGGAATGCATACTAATTCACATTGAATAAGTATCGGACGGTTTAACGACTAAAAATGATTGATGAGCAATTGTGATAAATATGCAGTGACAATTGATAGCAACGCAAATATTGATTCGAAGCATATAATCCAAGAAATTTGAAAAAATAAAGTACTAGTCTAACTAATTTCTTAAGTAACGAAATGACCATGAACTGATGTTCTAACAACCTGAAGATTTCCTTTTGGATCTCTGCTGGTATGTGTTGCAAGTGGTTGCACAATAATTCAAACGCTTGACTTAAATACAATGCCGATAAGGAAAAAACGAAATGACGTGTTTCAAACATAACGCGCCTACGCTACCCCAGTGCCCTTGTTTTTCTCTTTTCTTTTCGAACGAGGATATTGTCTATGGCAAAAACAAGGCACAGACATACTTGAAACTCGTATCAAATGTCGCCTACACCTGAAAAAGACTTCTAAGGACGTTATAAAATAAACTGTAAATTCCAAGAGGACCGCCCCCCAGTCATAATCTTATCTAAAACAATTTCATATCAGTCTTTTTTTGGACCACGTGTCTTGAACAACTACTATCTTACGATTATGCAGTAGAAACATGTATCGATTTCTATACGATGCTGAATATCTGTAGTACAACTAAATAGTTCGTTTCGAAGATAATTTTCAAAGTAAATTCACAGACAAGAACGTCATCTTCTATAATCGATTCATTAAATAATAAATCAAATACTCGATGTTCATCTTCCACACAGATAGAAAAGATCTTTCTGATCACTGAATGGTCACACATCCGAAACAAAAAAAGATGAAGCAAAGCAGTTGGCGTGTTCATTACTAGAAGGAACCTATTGTCATTCATAGATTGATACATCTTCCCCGCTATAAACATGGCATTAACATTTTATGGATTATTTTTATTTATCGTTTTCACACTCGCACCGATATGTACAACAAGCGCATCCACACGTAACAGAACAGAACAGAGCAGAAAATAGAAATGAATGTAAAGGGAACAAAAGTAGAGTGTAGATTTCTTTTCTTTGAAAAAAAACCGTACTAATTTCTAAGTTCAACGGTAAATACACGAAATGTTCTGATATCCAAATCAATCTCAACCAGATATTTTATCCAAAGTGAAATATAATTTGTAATAATAGGAAAATAAAGCCAGTCGGTTTCACCATACCATAGTACATGTTTGTTTAAGAATGGGCTAAACGTTTGGGACGCTTAGTCGTTCTGGATGATGAAATGACTGGACGCACACCGGTAGCTGAGATCATCTCTAATACATCGTATGTATTCGAGAGTGAAGAAGCGTTTGCTACTGTATTTGAATTGCCCAAACTGAGTGCTGCTAGTGCTTCTACAAGGAGAAAAAAAGCCGATGAAGATGAATGAAAGAAACCGGAGGACTTACGATCTAATGAACCGTTGTATAGATAATTCGATTTATGAAGCTCTTCTCCTTTGTGACAGATTTCTATATATGCAATACCCTGATCGACTTGTGGACATGGAAATGGTGGCATCGAAAAGTAGATGATATTTCCACTCTTCGTGAATGATACTGATTGTCGCCAGCTTGTGGTTCCAATTCCAACGAATACGGTAATGTCATCCTTCAGCATACGACCTTTCAACACAGCATACACTCTTTCATTCCCACCCATGGGCCCATACTGTGGCCCGATATGTTCCACATAGATATCGCCATAACCTGAAGATTTTCAATAAAAATCTTTTTCTTGAATGTAAATCATTTCTTACTTTCGGCCATAACGCAAGAATATGCCACACTATCTTCATCACGTTGAAAACTGTCTTTTTCCGTTTCGAAATAGCGTGTGAACCTTAGCATTGATTGTTCCAATTCGCGTTGTTTGATCAAATTTTTGGTGAGAAAGTCATCTTGTTTACCTTTGATGTATTCAATCATGAAGCTAAAAGTAGTAAATAAATCAATCGTTATTGGACACGCCCGACTGTTCAAAGTGAAATGTACCTTTTATATCCTTTTGATATATCCTCGGGTGTTACGCGAAAATATAAGGATTGCGGTTCATTGAGACGGAAAATTAAGGTATTTTCCTCATATCTAGGTTGACATTGTCTGTTGTCGATCGTGTAACAATGAGGCTGTTTATCCTTGGCGACGAGGGTAACTTCAATGATGTTATTGACCGATTCCATCGCCCATTTTTGATAGATCTGCAAAGCAAAGAATTGATTTCTTTGAGAAATACAAATCTGCTGAGCATCATACATCAATGGTGGGATATTCATGTTCGCTGAGTTGTTCACAACGAAGATAGTGGGTGGCAGTTTTGCTTTCGTTCTGCGTCCGTGGGCGAAATTGTTTTCGTGGATGACATCGGATTTTGATCTGTTTCGAATCGAGTGAGTCGAATTGAAGCACTACAAAGAACAAAAGTAATGTTTTGCCAAAGAAAAACCAAGCATTCGAACATACATTGCTGTTGAAAATCAAACTCAGTATCGATTTGAATTGATGAACAAGGTTGACACACACCATACGCTGAAAAAAGGAAGGACAAGTCATCATCAACATTTGCTTGTCAACTATCAACATACAAGCAAGCATATCAATTGGAGCGACGGACGAGGAAGCATGACGGCCAGCTAAAAATAAATCAAATATGAATATGTGAAAGTAAAAACACATTAGTTTATATACCGGAGTTCTTTTTCGATTTCGACACATTTTTGTGTAGCCGTTGATGATTTCGGGCACATTGTCGAGTAGTAGCAGCATCTAGAAGATGAAATATGATTATATCGACAGGAATTGTCAGGATTTCTTACTATCAAATGCTTGGGGCTCCACGGGCGAACTGCCAACTTGAAATGAAAATGATGACGACAGCGTGGAATCTTTTGGAAGAAATGCTTTGTTATTAGATCATAGGAAATCGATTTTCCTACCTGTTGGCAATGGATGGATATTCATATGTTCGAAGGTATCTTCAATAGAGCTTTGTCTTGGCACTTCACCAATATTCAAGGAAATTAACGATGCAATGTCTTCGGGCTCGAATGAGTGTTGCGGGATACTGGTGAATACTATCGAAGATCAAAAACAAATTTAATTTATATGCTGATTTACGTGAATTTCAAATATTATATCAGTTGGAATCCCTTTGGTTTATTCCGAAGATGGACATTTGGATCCTCCGCAGTTATTTATTCTACTTGTCAATGGAAACAAAAGATCCTCGTACTGTGATGGTAAACGTCCAAATGACGTCATCCAGGTGATTCTATAAGGTAAAGAAAAATAATACTTACAAGCTGAAGGTGTATCGATAAGAGCATTGTGAATATCATCCGAAGATGTTGAATTCAAGCTGAGAAAAGTATCCGACCCAAAAGTTAAATCATTTAAGATCTGACAAAACAGATATTGGAAACAATCAATCTATTATCTTTAGATTTACCTGATTATCCAGAGATGGATCAGATACGTCAGGCATTGTTGTTGGTTGCGACTGACCAGTCAAATTCATTGACTCAAGTAAACCCTCCATATCAAACTCTTCCGCCATATTTAACACAAAACAAAAGATGAATTAATCAATAGGATCTAGAACAAATCAATCAATTGTCTGTAAATAGCTAGTGACATCAATGATCAGAAAATAAACGATAATACAACTTATAAATTGCAGTGAGTATAATGTAAAAAAAAACTTCGCCCCGCTCTGCTTACATCGAAAAAAAACAACTGATGAAACATTTTTTTCTATTTGCTAACCCTTTTTTTGCCTTACCATACTAACTATCGTTCTCCCTCTTTTTTTGTAAGCAAACAAAATCGATGCAGCACAAAAAAAGAAAAGAAAAAAACATTCCTCTCTCGTTGCTAACCTCTACGCATCGTCGTCGACGTGTGCGAATGTCGCTGTTAGCGAGAAAAAAGGGGCCAGCGCCTCTATGTAGGATAGAGAAAAAAAACAAACGTACGGGGGTAATACTTTTACAATATGCGTCATGACATATGCAATTCTTGTTTTTTTTTCATGCGTCATTTATTTAATTAACTCTAGACGCATATTGATCGGTTAGTCTCACCGATAATAATTTAAAGACAAAGAAAATAATGAAATATCAAAGTGAATAAAAGTACATGAGCAATATAACGAAATAACGTTCGGATATGCATTGATACATGACAAGTTGAAGTATTTTATCACGGGGTTTCTTTGATATCTTTATGACACAGCACGAAATAAGTCATAATTAATGTTTTCGTTGGCCGAATGATGAAAAAAGTGATTCGATTGCCCCATGAAATGTAAGTATGTAGAAAACACGAAGTGGAACTGTTGGAGCAAGCAACGATTCAGCTATTCGATAATAATCGGATGGAGACTGAAAAAGAAAAGTCATCGTTATATGACAATAAGATAAATCTATAAAATATCTACATCGAATTTGATTTTGTACAATTGCCACAGTGTCGCGCCGGTGAAAAGCCTTAGGGCATCTTCGAACCTATTAAAAAGAATTCAGTCAACAAGTGAGACACTCATCGAACATACATTTCAAGTTTTTCTCGATTTAACCATTCAACAACATCATAAGTATTCCAGTCATTGACATCTTGGTATTGCAACCAAGAACTGCTCATTGTTGTCACCGCTCGGGTAGAATTGAACGATGTAGTTGTTGAAACTAACAACAAAATCAACAACAATAATCAATTGACGACTTGAATTTCGAAATATTACAATTACTAGTTTGATAATGTTCATCTGCTCCCAGTGATACTCGGATGTTTTCGATTTCACGTACAAGTAAGTCAAATGCTTGATCGAATTGTAATTGACTAAAGTCAATATGAAGCTTCGAGCCATTGATGATTCCCAGCCAACCATTCGCTTTATAGTCCCGTTGCATCAACATTGGAATCGATGCTTTATTGCGTTCGAGTGAATACTCAGCTTCTACAAAAGCAAATAAGGGAATTAATTGTATGATAACAGTAGAATTTGACCGCAAACCTAATCGACAGTATCGACTTTTAAAATACTGTTCGTTGATGGCCATTAAAACAACAAATGCATTTTCAACGGCAGATGCCATGGAAGTTAAAATATCTCCGGAGATATTCTCTTGATCGATCCAGACTGAATAGTTTTTATCCTATGCAAGCATATCAACATGTAAATCGGACTTGTCAAATCGTGCGCTCATACCTTCAATGCTTTTGCAATTCTTGAGCATACAAGTTTAGTCGAATGATTGTAACTGATCATAATATGTCCGAGATCGTTACTATCTTTCTTTGGATCGATGTATTTCGTTGACAGTGTTGTTGTAGTCGTTGTTGATGATTCTTTAATGATTTTAATATCTAATGAATTGAATTTGTTTTGCGAACAATTCCGATGAGATTTCCTCTTACCATCTTTTTCAATTGTACACGGTTCGCATAAACTTTGTTTACAGAGAACAGGAGATGGTTCATTTGCTTTCGCATCACAAATACTGTCGAAATCGACAACATCACTGGAAAGATTTTCTTCATGTGATTCAGTTTCATCCACCGGCGAACAAATATCGCCATCAGGATCTGGCGAAGGTTCATGATGAAATGAGACTAAATTAAATCAATTTTCTCGAATACCCGTAAAAAGAAAGAGACAACAAACTTTGTATTCTGCGTTCATCGGGATCGACTTGAGGTTCATTTGGAAGATTTCCTAAAACGATGATTACACGGACATGAAGAAATTCTAATGAAATGAACATCATACCATCGTCAGTAGCTTCAGTTGGACGTTCATCATGACTATCTGAATCAATTTCATCTAAATAAAAATGATCAGAAAAATCCAGGTAGACATCTATACATACAAACATGGTTGTTCGATGGATAATTATCGTTTACATTTGACTGCAGATCAGCTGGTTCGGAGAGAGATTCTTGAGGTAATAGTTCAAATTGTTGCTGAAAGAACAATGCATATTCATTTCAAGTTATTCATAGACTGAAACATACGTCGAAACTTGGAGGAGTTGGCAACGAATTTTCATCGTTCATTATCAATGTTAAATAATCTATTCACAAAAGAAATTTCGTGAAAAAACTATAAACTAAGACAAGACAGCCGTTTTGTATGTGACTGGTCTATTTTTACACTATCCAAAGAAATCGACGTCTGTCGACTTTTAAAATTAATCTAGAATACCATTAAATATGTGAAATATATATGAAATTTTACTAAATTCACTAATGCATCCAAAATCACGGCATAGTAGCACGTGTAAAAAGAAGCAAGACGAAAATCACGAAAAACAAGTGTAACTTATTTTCTTCGAAGTACGTGTAAGACGCAATCAGTCAAAAAAAATCATATCATGATTGGTTAGTTACGCGTGTTTTTTCACAAAAATATAACATGGCGTGAAAAAAACCTCCTCGATTTCTTCGCTCTAATGATTCGTTCCATGTAACTCTGATCGTAAGTCAATTGATAGACTGAGTCCATCATCGTTTGTAGAAACATAAGTCATTGCATGTAAACAACTAAACGCAACACCTTTGAGTCGGCGAATGTAGTATGACGCATCGTCTGCCAACAACCATCTACGTCTTTAGTTGTTTTAGGAAGAAATGACGCAGAAAAAGCCATACTTCAAATGTATGCTTTATACTCAAAGATAAAAAAAAGTAGACACGAAATGCGAATACATTTGAGATAAAAACAACAAGCGAAAGAACATTTAGAGGCACAACATGTCAATAAAAATCTTTTGATTGCATTCAAATACGACGATTGAATTTCAGTCTACTGACATTCGTATAAGTCAAAAGTATTTCAGTGTGTTGTCTGGTTCGTAGCAATAGGATCTGGGATGATATGGTTCTAACTATTCTCTCTCTGTCACCTACATCTTTCTCGAGTACATTTGTCCCCTCACGTTCTTTCTTTCTCAGGATTGTTTTTATACGTAAAAAATGCGATTCTTGGCTAGAAGAAAGAAAGGAAAGCGTAATGTCATTGCCCAAACACTCCTTTCAACAATAATCCTTAGAAGCTTAGTTTCTAGACGTTTTGAGTAATGGATATTTATTTTGTTTTAAATGAAGAAGCTTGGAATGATATTTGAAAAGAGCACCTAGTGCCAGTCGAGTATATCCGTCATCACATAGGAACGATGAATGCAGTTCGATTCATTCAATAACGTGCTTATAGGTGAAATTTGATTAAAAAATATATAAAAAGAAGAAAGATTCACAAACACCGAAAAAATATATCAGGAAATATGAATATTGCTGTGAAACGAAGTTAGATGAGAATTTTCGGTTCTGTAACACTTTCTGTAATGGCTTTATGTGGTAAAATAACTCCACCATTGATGAATAATTCATCTTGTACGGAAACATCCAAACCGAGGACAGTAGTATTTTCCATTCGAACCTAAAATGAGCCATATGAATCTGAAATAATCGATCTCGAAACAATTTTACCCATTGTCCGATTGTGCATCTCCAGCCAATGATACAATTAGCGATCCATGTATGACTTTTAACTAATGAATCGGCGAGAATAGTGCAGTTTTTCAGACATACACCATCTTGAATAATAACTCGAGGGCCAACAACTACATTTGGTCCAATACGGCATCGTTCGCCAATCTTTGCAGTTGGGTCCTAATGAGAGAACCACGTTGAGATTGTTGAATGTTAAAATAAATAAGAACTTTACCAATAGCACATTGCCAACAATTCCACTGTCGCGTGATAATCGTTCCGGTTGAGAATGACGAACATGATTCAAATATAAACCTATACCAGTTAAATAATCTTTGGGTTGACCAACATCCATCCAGAAACCTGTAGGTGAATGAAGAAAATATATGTTTACCGCATTCTTGTTGCTCGAGATGAAAGGAAAACTTCAGCTATTTACCTTTCAATTCAAACGCATACAGCTGCTTCTCTGTTGCCATTGCTGGAAATATTTCCTTTTCAATCGATGTCGGTCGTAACTAAAGATTTGTTGAATGCTCATCGCATTAGATCATTGTGTATTAGTCTCACTTCGATTCGATCGAGGATGGTCGAATTGAAGATATATAAACCAGCATTGATTTTATTCGAAACATATTCACGTGGCTTTTCCACGAAACGCTCAATCCTACCAGTGGTCTGTTCATAGACCACAACACCATATTTAGATGGTTCATCTACTTTCGTTACCTAAATAATGTAAAAAAAACATCATTGCAGATGGTCGTTGTATTCAAAAGTAGGCTACATACACAGATAGTACCTTCAGCGTGATGATTTTTATGAAATTTAATCATATCTTCAAATGGAAATTCGCAGATTACGTCAGAATTGAGAACAAAAAATGGATCATTGTCGCCCTGAAGATGATCACGTGCTAACGCCAATGGACCAGCTAAATAACATGAAGAAATTACAATTTACAACGAAGGGATGCGAATAAGTATCCGACCTGTCCCTAATGGTTCTGTTTCTTGAGAAAGAGATATTTTTATATTCAAACGTTTTGCTTCGACTTCCATTTCTCGTTGAAGCATGTCCGAAAGATAACTCACCGCTAGAATAACATGCGTTACGCCAACCTAAACAGACGAATAATCGATTTCTATCAATAATTGAATGAAACAATGAAGTATATACTTGAGCTAAAGCTTCAATTTGATGTAAAACCATTGGTTTATTACAAAACTCAACTAATGGCTTCGGTTTCGTCAATGTTAATGGCCGCAAACGGGTACCATAACCACCAACAAGAATAAGTGCTCTCATGTTCGTCGAATAATGTGACACAAGAATGAGAAAATTTGTCTGAAAATGACAAAATGGATTGATTTAAGCAGCTCGATAGATACTACAATAGCAAAGATGAAATCTTCATTTGCTATTCAAAAACTTTTGTCAACTGATCTGCCCTACTTTCCTTATTAACTAATAATTACTTAACATACGATGTGAAATTCGTTTTTTTTATTTTGATCGAATCCACACTGCAAAGAAGAACAAAGACCATGCGTATTCTTTTTTCTGTGGCTATTTTCTCCCGACTTACAACACATTGACAAGTAGTCAAATCATAGAAAACGCAGTATTTCATGTCTATAATGACCGATTATAGGTGACATCTTTTGAAAGATCCGAAGTTACCACAGACTTTACATAACCGTTTCTCCCAAAGATCTGCCTGTTATCTTGTTTATAAAGATGAATTCAGCCATTGTTAATCGATGAGATTTATTCGCCTAGTAAAACATAGAAAAACAAACAATTGGTATAGTTCACCGTTCAGTTTGAGATGTAGAAAAGACTAGGAGAATATACAAGCGAAGAAGAAAACGCTTCTGGAAGACGATCCATTAGCGCACTCGACAGAAGGAAAATGAGACTATTTGTTTTTTCTTTATTGTTCACATAGACACAGACACGCACACACAAATACAAAAGACAAAAAACTATCGCCGTTGCATATTCTGATTACGTAGAAAGGGTACATGTGATCTGGTACATTTGTTGGCATAATGACTAGACGAAACGAGAAGAACAGTTTTAAAACATAAGACAAGAAGTGATCTTTCTTACCCTCGTTCACCGCATTTGAAACAAGTGACATCATGTTGGAACGGTTGTGACATACCCATCGTTGGTGGATGTTGTTCATCAGTCGCATGGTGGTTTGCAGACTGGTGAGATGCTCCTCCATCTTGTTGATGATTGTAATTCTGGTTTTGACCATACGGCGGTCGATTATATTGTTGTTGTGATTGAGAATTATTTGATGGCATGTTAAGGTATTTTTGTCGTTCTTCATATGGTAGTTTAAAACATGATGATGCTTTATGTCCTGTTTCATGACAATAATCACAAACGAAGACCACTTTACGTTGTACTGGAGTAAATTCGTTCGCATTCGGTAGTTCAAAACTCGGATGTGATAAAGTACACTTTGGTCCCTCGGGGCAAAATCCACAAAGATAATTCTGACAGAGAACTTTCCGAGTGTGGCGATTTTTACAATTCGGCCCATGACGACAGAATCCTCGATCATACCAAGGACAATCTAACGTGGAAAAAATGAACGTCTAGAAATGACAATGAGAAATTGTTTTAAAACATACCACGTATTTTCGATTCTGGATCCAAATGAAGAAATGCACATTCTTTATTCAAACATTGTCCGTATTTCGAAAAGAAATAGCACTCAGGCATTTTGGCCATGTCATATTCATGGAGAAATTCACAATCATCGCCTAAATTTACACTGAAGAAACATGAAATTCAATTATCGGATTCGGTACCTTTTTTACATAAACCACGTAACCAATGTTTACATACAACTGTTTTATCACCGTGTATATGTCGAAACGGGCAGCGTTGATTTGAGCAACTTGAACGCAAGAAAAATTCACACACTCCAACATTTGCTTTGTCCATATTAGGAAAAGGTAGTGGCAAAGCGCCCTGTTGAGAACAGACGATTTCATCGAGATCGAAATGAATGTTCTGAACAGGTGCTATGATATCTTGCATCAACATGTTGTCTTCTGTGTTGAAATTCAAATTAAACAGGGAATGAAACGCTGGATAGTTTGCACGGTTTTATCCTCTCATCAATGGTTCAATATTTCGACCACTCGAATTGACAGTCGGATGGCGCCACATGTTCAGCAAATCATCATTTGCTAGATTTTCTTTTTCTCCTTCCGAGAATTGTTGATTGATCACGCCAGTACAAGCATGTCTGAAGGTCGGAAAAAGTCTCGACGTCGTCGTTCATCCGACGACCTTCCCGAGTTAACCCCAATTGAAAAGTCCATTGCAAAGTACCTTCGGTTCCAATGTCCGACGAAAAAGGGTGTTCTGATGGGTATGCAAGTTGTCTATTTCACTGGATCGAAAGCAGTTGAGTGTTTAACTGAATCAAAATGGTCATCAATAAGCACAAAAGCTACAAACAATGGAAAATCTCCTATTTGTTTTTCCTCTAAACACGACGCTGTTCAAGTATGATTAGAGCGATTTTACAGACAAAATTATGCGCACAAATTGTTTATTGTCTAGATGCTTCGAAAGTTCTTGGATCATGAAATGTGTCGTCGCGTTACTAAGGTCTACAAAGATGCGAATGTCGGATCTGAGATTAAGGAAGACACATCGCAATCCAATACACCTCGTGCCATACGTCGACGCAAAACTAAACAAAACGAGAATGCTTCCTCATCCGTTACTGAATCACCAGTAAATGATGATGAATTGAAAGAGAAACTAAAAAAGAAGAAGTTCAAATTTGAATTACACGGCGATCAAGTCTTTGTCGATTCACCGAACGATTTCTTTGTCTGGACTTATTCACCGACTACAATTAAGCAGTACATCATTGGCGGATTGTTAGTTATTGGCTGCATTGGGGTCTGTCTTTTTCCACTATGGCCATCACAAGTTCGAACAGGAGTTTATTACCTGTCGATTACCCTAGCGAGCTTACTCGGAGCATTACTCTCGTTGGCAGTTCTTAAATATATTATCTTTGCTTTAATTTGGTTAGTAACTATGGGTAATATACGATTCTGGTTCTTGCCGAATTTAACGGAGGATGTGGGCTTTTTTGAATCGTTTGTCCCATTTTATGTAATCAATGCTCCAGCGAAAGAGAAGAAGACGAAAGAAATTTCAAATGAAAATGAACAAGCAGATGAAGAAAGAAATCTTCCTGAACAAGCTGTTGATTCAGAAGAAGAAACTAAACGACAGCGATTAGCAGATGATGGGTTTGAAGTCTTGTCAAAAGAAGAATTAGAAACAAAATAGTCAATGTCCTACATGTGTACATAAATCTATGTGAACAATGTCTTTTTATGTTGTCTAACGTATATATATATGCAATAATCGCACATTCGTCTCGTATTGATCGTTGTTATATCGTCTATGACATTATATTGCACTCTTTTCTTTGTCAGAATTTAATAAAACACCACATTGACTTTGATGTAGTTGACCATGTATATTCTGACGAGAATGATTGTATTCAATGGTAAAAATAATATATTTACATTTTTTCTTATCGATGTATGTGGTGGTGATTAAGTTTACGACGCAAAATGTATATTATCGGCTTCGACGAACTACGTAACTTATTTATTTTTTGTTTTTCTATACTCTAACACGTGATTCGAACGAAAGACAGTCACTATTACCATTCTATTTCTGCTGATAGAGCGCAAGTGCAGAGTATATTCTTGCTACACCCGTTTTTTTCTTAACCATGATATTCCAACTTTCCCTGTGCAGATTTTTCGAGCAAATGAAGCATCCTATATGATTTTATTTCGATGAAATCAAAGCGTCTGGGGTGCTCCACTAGCTTATTCACTAGTGGCATCTTCCGATCGGTTACGATCCGGATTGGTCAGAAGAACAATATAGTTATTTCAGGTATCTGCCAATCGAAGCACTTGTCATATTGCATAGGTGTCTTATAATTGCAATGAATGATCTATATAGAGAACAAGCTTCGTCTTTGTATTCTGAAATAACACACGTAAGAATCAACATGGCGGCCACCGTCATTTCTGAGTGCAGTGTATACTTTTTCGCTTATTAGTCTCATCTGTACACCTGAGTAGACGCGCATTTCGCCATCTCTTCTTCTTCTTCTCGTTATTTTAGACGAATCACACGAATCTTGATCAACCGTATTGTTTTCTTTCTGATTTAATACATCATGCATACACAAGATCAATATAGTACTATTTACGGCGCTGCTTTAAGTAAGTGTTGTAATTTCGATTGAATTGTTCTTTTTTCTCTCATGAAAAGCCTTATTCTAGTTCTCGGAGGTTTACTTGGCTATTTTCGTCGTGGAAGCGCCATCTCACTCTTGTTTGGTATGTCGCGGTCATTTTTGAATTAAATGTTCTACGAATTAGCTTTACAGGTGCTCTTTTCGGATCGTGGACTCTCTACAATGGAATGCATCCCACACGTCAAAATAACGTCGCTAACTTGGCTGTAAATACAAGAACACTTAGTTTACATGTTAATCTTTGTTCTTTTTTAGATCGCCTCTGTTCTCGGTGTCATTATGCTATTACGGTTCTTAATCGGTCGTAAAGTTTTCCCAAGTCTTATTGTTTTTGGCTTATCGGCTTTTCAAATCTATCGCAATTATCCGTATCTCAAATAAGAAGCGTCAATTAGCACGACAAACATTTATTTTTCCTTGTTTTCTTGTTTCTATACTTATTCTTGCTGGTTGTTTTGTTCTTTATTTTGTGTGTTCTCTTCTATTCCAAACGACGACGGTCAGCCGTAGATTCTTAACTATCTCTTATGTGTTCACTCACTTCAGTCATACATTCATATAACCTCGTAACTTCAACAAAAATAAAACGGATAGAATATTGTCATCTAGTGCAATTGGAAAACAACAATTTTTTTTCTGTTGATCACTTTTATTTTCTTTCTAGAATGTGCATTTGTACGTCAAGTGTTCTCTGTCCAATTTGTCACAATAGCAATTAAAAACGTCAAACAGAACAATGTCTTTCCCACCGCATATGCCGATCATACCCCCAATGCCATTCCTCCCTCCCGGCGCACCTATGATGATGCCACCTAATGTAAGTCATTTTAGTCCCGTTGCTAGGATTCAATGTGTATCGTTTAGATGGCAATACCACCACCTGGTATACCAACGAATGGTGCTCATAAAACAGCAGAAGGCGAAAAGGTTTGCTATAGGGATCTTGCTCTAGTTTTAATATGTACCGTGTTTTTTTTTGTAGAAGAATCGCCTTCAAGCGGCAACTACTGTGTTTGTTGGAAGTATATCAGACCGAGCACCTGATGCAATGATCAAGCGAATGCTTCACGTAAGTGATGATGTGTGCCAAAAAGAAACAGCTCTTCAAAACTTTTCGAACTTGAATATCTCATGTGTTATCGAACTGATATGTTATCTCTAGTTCAAATTTCAAACTCTATTTTCTTTTGTTAGAACTGTGGTAGCGTGGTCAATTGGAAACGAGTACAAGGTGCCAATGGTAAACTTCAAGGTAACATTTCTTGACTAATGGATTGTCTTTTCTTATTGAATAGTTCTTTGCTTTAGCGTTTGGTTTTTGTGAATATGAAAATCCTGAAGGTACACTCCGTTGTATTCGTTTGCTTAACGGTTGGCAAATTCAAGAAAAAAAATTAGTCGTAAGTGATTAGTAAAGAAGATTTTTTTCGTTTCGGTCAACGACTATTAGATCCTTGTTTTCAACAAATAAACACGTGAGTGTTTTTCTATTGTGGTAGAGCTCCCGGATGTTTTCAGTCGATGATCAGTTTGTGTCCTAATTGATTTAATTTGGTTTTCAACACGAGACAGACATTGATCTGGTAACAATTTGTACACATGATTCATTAAGTGATTTTGTTCTATGAAACATCTTTTTGTTCTTAGTGTTCATTGACACACAAATCGTCATTCTTTCAGAAAAAAAATGCACAAGAGTGAGTGGTTCCTTCTATTGAGAAATGTCTTTTTCTTTTTTATTCGAGATGTAATCTAAGATACATATTCATATGTTTCTTTACTGAATGAATGATGAAACGGTTTAGCATGAAATTTAATTCGATTTGTTTTCTTTAGGTCAAAGTCGATTCGAAGACCAAGGCATTACTCGACGAATACAAAAAGAAGAAACGTCATGAACTAGCTAAGCGAGCTGCGAATGATACAACGGCATTCAAATTTATCTACGAAGAAGATGACGACGACGAAGATGGAAAGAAATCGAACAGTACCAATCCAGATGGAAAAGTAAAGACAAATTTGAATGAAGTTTATTGGATACTAGATTCTTTGTTTCTTTTTTTGTAGAAAAAATCCGGTGAAGAAGGTGAAATCGAAGAAGAAGAAGATGACTACATCGACGATGCCACGCGTCGCGAAGATCATACAATTAAGTTATCACTCGAAACGATTATGCGGGAGTATTCGCGCGAAATGAATCAACGTGCATTAGAAGCAAAAGAACTGGCTGAACGTGAAGCAGCCGCTGCTGCTGCAGCTGGGCCTCCGATGTCACAAGCACCCGCGTCAGTCGGCCCAACAGGAGATCTATCGGCAGCAAACGCTGGTTCTCCCAGCACGCGACGATCTGACAGTGGGGTTGCCGGTGACGATGAAGAAGGCAAACGAAGTTTGATCAATAATGAAATCCTCATGTTTCGTGATCGGTTCAAAGATGAAGATACCAAAATGCGTAACACAGAAAAAGAACGCAAAGATCGTTATGAACGTGAACGTGCGTTACAACGTGAGAAACGTGCAGCTGAAGAATCTGCTTCGAGTGGCAATCATAAATCGTCCGTTTCACCGCCGTCTTCACGTGATCGTTCATCACCCAAACATGAACGTAGTGGTACAAGTCGACGTGATCGATCTTCACCTAGTGATGACCGATATCGTGGTTCATCATCACGAAGCAATACAAGTAATTCTGTACGTAATCGAGCAAGTGACCGACGTAGTCCACCGTCATCGTCGCGATATGATCGTCGTTCACCGCCTTCTTCATCGCGTTACAATCGTCATCGTTCTCGAACAAAATCACCTGTATCTAAAAGCTATCCTGCCGATGAAGACGATGAGGATATTCAGGAGAAAAAGAAAGCCGATCGACGCCTACGAGAAAAAGAAAGTCGTTATCGAGATGTAAGTTTATCAGAAAAGACGAATTGCAAATCGAGATTTGGATGCATGTTTTAGCGACTGAAAACCTGGGAACAACGTGAACGAAAGAAACAAAACGATTATAAAATGGAAAAACGTCGTGAACAAGCTCGATTACATGATGAAGAAAAAGAAGGCAAACGTCTATTAGCATTCTTCGAAGATTACAACGATGAAAATGACGATCCAAAATATTACAAGTTTGTTTTTGTTTGTCTTTCACTTGTCAAAGTTTCACTTTTTGGGTTGCCCATTGTAGTGAATCATCGTTGGCTCGCCGTTTGAAAGATCGCGAACATGAAATCGATCTTGACAATCGTGATCGCCGTCATGAAAAAGAAGAAATCGAAGAGCTTCGTCAGAAACTGTTACTTCAAGGTAATATTGACGATGTCGATGCGGAAATTAAACGACGTTTGGAAAAAGAAGAAGAATCAATCCGGAAAAGTTTAGCCGATCTAACGCGTGCAAGTGATGAATCAGGAGATGAATTAGATAACGATGAACAATCAACCAATCATCGGAAGGATAGTAGCAGTGCTGCACCTGTTGAATCAGCAAATACAAGTAGGATGTTCTTTTTCATATGAAGCAAACATATTCACCATCTGTTTTAGGCACTGGAAGTATTGAACAAGCATCACGACAAGCTAGTTCCCCTCAAATCGGTAAGTAGAAGACTATCCAGTGGATATTCCATCTTGACTATCTGTTTGTTTAGAAACAAAAGCTAGTCCTCGTCAAACATCAGCACTTGGTGGTGCACCAATCACCGGCACGAAAATACCATCAAAACGCAAGCTCGCTGTTAATGACGTAAGTTTTCCGAAACGAAATCTCCTCTTTCATATCAATAATCCGATTCTATTTCAGGCTTTTCGTGATGACCAAGATGACGATAGTGCGAATACATATCAGAAAAAATCAAAATTATCAGCGATTCCTGATCAGCAATCTGCACCAATAGCACAAAACTCTCCCAATATGAAAGACGATTCGTCAAATCGCACATCAGCTGGCAAGGCGACCGCTGTGACGCCAACAAATAATGCCAATTCTGCTCAAGCACAAGAAGAAAAACGACAGGCTGTTCGAAAGCTAATCGAAAGTATTCCAACGAAGAAAGAAGATTTGTTCACCTTTCCATTGGATTGGTCACTTCTTGATTCGGTACGTGCTTTCCATCTGTTCGTTCTTTGTTTATTGAAACTATTACTTTTAGAATCTCATGGAAAAACGCATCAAGCCATGGGTTACGAAGAAAATTGTTGAATATATTGGAGAGGAGGAAGCCACGTTAACAGATTTTATTTGTTCATCCATCATGTCGAAGAAGAGTGCTGAAGCGATTCTAGCTGATATACGTGTTGTACTCGACGATGAAGCAGAAGTGTTTGTTGTGAAAATGTGGCGGTTAATCGTCTATGAAATCGAAGCTAAACGACAAGGACTCAGCAAATAGTTACTGTTCTTGTCCGACTTTGTTCTCGATGTGCTTGTGTGTGTACTCTATTACATGTTTTTCTTACTTCAGACAAAACAAAACCAAGAAATAGATGAATTGATTGTCATTATGTACAAATATGAAGACCATAAAAGTTGAAAAAAGTTGTCTCTCTCTTTCTCTCCTTCTTTTTTAATAGACAACAAAAAAATCTAGCAAAGAAAAATCATGATATGTGTATGTATTTGTCGTTTTTCTCTTTTGCGTATGCGTGCGCGCTCTTTGTCTTTTCTCACTTTGTGTTTGTTCTTTTTCTCGTTTTGTCTGTGATTTTTCAACACATGCAAGAAAAAAAGGAAGAGAAAAAAAAAACGTTCAGTTCTGTTACATGGCCTTCGTTCGATTTATTCCAGAAGTCTTTCAATCATTAGCATAGAATTCGTACTATGTACATGTATGAATTCAATTACTTTTCTTCAATGTCCACTATCATATCGATCGAAAAACGATTGTCAATGACAGCAAGAAGTAAACCGTTCGTAATCTTTGTGACACATTGAATAGCAACACTTTTCACTGAACAGCTGCTATTGATGACACGGAATTGCGTGTCTCCCTCTTTATACATATACGATCCGTTACCAGACGAAGCCCAAACAAAGACTGAATAGTTATCTGCTAGGTCACCATTTATTGGAATGGTGACCCACTTCATATTTGCGTCGAACGAATGAATCGTCGTATGGTGAACAACTCTGTCAGCTTCGTTGACAACAAAACCAACATGAGGTCCACGATAATCTGATTTTATTCGTATTGCATGAAGTTTCACGGGCCTTTTCAATGAAAATTTGTATCCGCGCACCCAGTTGGTTTCCCGTCCTGTAAGTGCCGATGTACCATTCAGTTTTGAAAGATCGATTGGCGTTGAAATACTTGGTATATCATTTCTTTTGACAATCTGAACTTTCTTTTCGATACATCCATATGTTGAAATCATTTCGGCAAAACATTTTTGAGTTTTAGAATCGGTTTTGAATGTATACTGATTGATGGTGCAACCTTCATCAAGTTTTTGGTACTGTTCGATGAGATTCAGATGATTTTGTAATAGATTCGATTGTGATTGTAAGATCTCAATCGGATTAGACGAATCAGATACTTTACGAGCACAAAATTCTTGAGCAGCCGCTAGTTTCAGATGTTCATCGATTTTCATTTGCTGTTCGGTTAAGATTCTCATTGTTTGAGTTTGTTGATTGTCCGAACTGTTCGCTAGCGCAGTTCTTCTTTCATCTAATAAACGTTGAAGATAATTAAATGCTTCATCAATGGCCTGTTTCTCGAAACGAATCGTTCCAACTTGCTGAAGAATAATACGTTGGGTCTCGTCCGAAAGTCTAATAAGATTTTGTTTCATTTCCATGAGTTCCTGGATAGTTGCATCAAGTTCGACTTTTCTGTCAGCAGCTGCGTCCTTGGTCGATAGAAGTGTGTGATCTTTATGTTTCAACAGCGAACAATCCCGACACACAAGTGTTTCACACTGTGAACACCAATATCGAAATTTCTCATCGGGATGTTCCAAACAAAAAGCCATGCTTTTATTCGAAAAGGGAACAATCGTATGTGACTGTAAAGCTTTGATAGAATGAACAGATTTCGTGCACGATACACAATAACCAAACGCACATTGTTCACACCAATTCACTGCTGGTTCTTTACTACAGTTTTCGCACAGATTAGCCGATTCTTGTTCACGCGCTCGATTGGTACTATTCACAAAGTCAACCATGTCGTTGACTACGCGATTTAATGGTAGTGCATCGATCTCATTCTGATTGATTGTTAGACCATCTCGTAACGGGCATACGAATCGTTGACCAGTAACTGCTTGTTGAATGCATTCATAGCAAAACGTGTGTGAACATGGAAGAATTCGTGGGTCGGTGTAATGATTTAAGCATATCGCACAATTGACTAAGATTTCTAGCTGCTCAACATTGAAATTGTTGTTACTAGTTGCCATCTGAAAAATGAGTAAACAAAATCAAATTGCGTTGATTTAGAAGATATGATTATCAGGCTACGTTTGTAAAGCTACAATATAAATAAGTCACTGTTTGTCAAATAGTTTTTGTTGGAAAAATCGAATACTGTTGTTTATCTTTTGCAATACTTTCGACGAATCGTTTACCGCGAAAACGCATCATAACATGACGTCAGTTTGCAGTCGACAAGGAAACAACCGAATCTGTTAATAAATATACAGCTCGGAAATAACGAAAACTGATATATATATACTGAACTCTATCGGAAATCTATTGTAATTTCTTACAACAATTGCAAACGCCATCTTTTTCGAAAAACAACAGAATCAGAGAATAAACTTTCATCTTGCATTGCAAGACTCACCTGCACACATTTGAGATATTTACTACAACAATTGACATACAGCAAACATGCGAGCTTTCGTTTATTTTGCCACAGGAAATATCATCCTCAACAACAACAACAACAACAAAAAACTTCACTCTTCTACATCTATAATCATACTAATCGAATGTGTGTTGTTAATCACAGTCAATGCTGAACCGAGAATGAGTTGATTCGCTACACTACATAGTCTACTTTTCACTGAGCAATTTTCGTTCACTTTCCGAAACTGATTATCTCCATTTTTATACGTATACGAACCATTATTTGACGGAGGTAAAACCAATACGCCATAGTTATTTTTCAGCTCACATTCGACTGGAATTGTTACCCATTTCATCGTACTATTAACTGAATTGATAACTCCCTTTTGAACAAGATTATTATTTTCATCGACGATAAAGCCAACGAGTTGTCCTATATGATCTGAATGTACGCGGATCGATCGAAGTTTCATCGGTTGTTTTAACAAAAGTTTATAACCTCGAGCAATATTCTGTTCTTTCGAAATCACATCAGTGCGATTGTCACTGATCTTCGAGAGATCCAACGGTATAGTTTTCACAGTAACTCCATCTTTTTTCACGACGTATGATTTACTTTTAATGTTCCCTAAGCTTAGAATCATGTCAGCTAAGTGTTCTAAATCTTTATCATCCCGTTTGAACATATGTCGTTGAATAATACAACCTTCATCGATTTTGTGATATTGGTCACTGAATTCATTGTAATTCTGAGCTAATGTTGATTTGAATTTCAAGATTGGAATTGGATCCGATGAATCTAGCATCTTTCGAATACAAAATTCCTGAACTGTCGTCAATTTTAAATGTTCGTCGACTTTCATTTGTTGCTGGGCCAAGATTTTCATCGTCTCGACTTGTCGGTCTTCTATTTCCTTGATCAAAGCACATTTTCGTTCTTCTAACAAGCGCTGTAGATTAGCGAACAAGTGCGCGGTTTCTTGCATTTCATGACGGGCTACCTCTCGTTGTCTTTCGATCGCATTTTTCATTGTTGTGGAAAACTGTGTGAGATTTCGTTTCATTCCGTTCACTTCCTGCATGAGCTTTTCGAAATTTGCCGTGACTTCATCGGCTGCGTCTTTCGTCGGGAGAAACGCGTGATCCTTGTGTTTGAATAGCAAACAATCACGACATACAAGTATGTTGCATTGTGTACACCAGTATTTAAACTTTTCCTCGGAATGTTCCGAGCAGAAGGAGAGAACTTTGCTGGCGAGAGGCACAATGACGTGAGATTGAAAGATTTTAATCATATGGACAGATTGAGTGCACGTTTCGCAAAGATTTGTCCCACATTTTTCGCACCAATTCCACGCTTGCAGCTCGTTACAGTTCTCACAGGGAAGGTAAGCTTTCTTATCGAGTGATGGATTGATATGTAACACAAAATCTACCATCTCTTTCGCCGTTCGGTTTGTTGGTAAATTGTCGATATCATTTTGCTCGATTATTTGCTCATCTTGTAATGGACAAGTAAATTTGCCATCTTGCATTGATTTTTGAATGCATTTGTAGCAAAATGTATGTGAACATGGAAGAATTCGTGGGTCTTTGTAACGCTCGTGACAAATCACACAAGTGATGAGTTCTTGGAATTGATCAGTATTTGTCATTATCGGTATCTCCATGTGAAAGTTTTGATTCGTGTTTTTATGCAGTAATCAAGGTGAAAAAGAGAAAACTTCCAAACAATTTTCGTCTTATTCGTTGATCGATGCGAAAGATTTTTGTTTTTACTTTTTGTGCCAATCATGTGCACGTGATACTAAACAAACTTTTATTTATTTACTCTGTTGTTCTTTCGTACAGCGACGTTTGAAATGCACAGATCTATCGAGGAAAATATGACTCGAAGTTCTGTTTGTTATTCAACATCTGGCTTGAATCTCTTCAATTGCCTATGAATAACATATGAATAAAGCTTCATCCAGTATTCAACATGGCAATGATTAAATCATTTCGGGAATCACGAGATGAAACTACTTGATATTTGATTTTCTATATAAGTATTCAGATAATGTCACACCTGACATTCATCTCAATCTCATATCAAGTTGATTCATACATCATAAAAGTAGGCATGTATAAAAATCGTTTTGTTTGACAATTCTCTATGACAAAACTACGATGAATCGAACGACGACAACCACGCGTTCAACGGCCAGTGGACATGCCTATTACAAAATTACTCGAACGACGACCGATGCTCAAGGAAACAAGCATACCGAGACGACTGAAATGGTGGATAACGATGCAATCAAAGTAATTTTGATCACACTAGTTGTAAATCTCATTGCTTTCTTTTTCAAAGCACATGCAAGACAACGACACACCTAATAAGAGTCGATTCGGACTTCGCTCATTAGCAAGCCCGAAAAGCTTGTTTCGGTCGACAAAGTCAGCACCTAAAGGTCAAGATAACGATGAATTCGTTCACGAAGCATTGCAAGTACACAATGATCTACGACGAAAACACGGTGTTGAACCGCTACGATTAAACAATGACTTATGTAAATTAGCCCAACAATGGGGTAAGTGTCAAATTTTGACGGCTGC